ACTATAGGCGTCCCCCCCGCCGAGTCCTCCTCCGCCGAGTCCACCTCCTCCCGCGCCTCCGCCTGTGCCTCCGCCGTCCCCCCCGCCGAGTCCTCCTCCGCCAAATCCACCTCCTCCCGCACCACCTCCGTCTCCGCCACCACCTCCGTCTCCGCCACCGTCTCCGCCGCCGTCTCCACCGCCTGCACAAGTGGGCGTACAAGCAGATATGGATGTCGAGGGATACTCTGCGGAAGAATTTGACGAGGAAAAGCAGCATGCATTTATAGAAGCAATTGCGGACATGCTCGGTGTGCTTCCGTCACAAGTTACTATCGATAGTATCACAGACACCACCTCCTCGAAGAAAGGGCGGCGTCGAAGGAATTCTCGACGTTCGCTTTTGTCCGGTTCGCTTCACGTGCAATTTAGCATCGCAGTCCTTTACGTCGAGGAAGTGCAAAACATCGAAGACACGATTATTCAATCAGAATCTTCGGCAGTCGTTCAAGTGTTCCAAGCAAACGGTCTTTTAGAGGTTTCATCCGTCGTACCGCCAACATCAGTGACAAAATATTATCCCCCACCACCTCCGCCGTTACCTCCACCATTGCCTCCATCGCCGCCTCCATCACCAACGCCTCCACCTTCTCCACCTCCTCCTTCGCCGCCTCCTTCGCCGCCTCCTTCCCCACAACCGCCACTACCATCTAGTCCACCGCCTTGGCCACCAAATCCGGCATCGCCGCCAAATCCGCCGCCGAATCCGCCACCGCTTATTCCCTCGTCGCCTCCACCGCTCGTAGAACCATCATCGCCTCCACCGCAACCTCCACCACAGCCGCCTTTGATCGATTTTTCGGAAACTTTAGCCCCGAATCCATCGCCGATTTCGACGGATACTTCTGGAAATCTCGCACTAGACGAAGTTTACGACACTTCTATCACAGATGACTACGAAGATCCGTTTGATAAGGTTTTCGTGGCATCTAGTAGAACCGCTCTGCCGGATTCGCTCTTTTCCATGCCGCGGTATAATCCAAGATCTGGTTTGGAATACCAAGGTCAGTTTCAAAACCCGGCCGCGGATCCAGATTATATGGGCATGTTACTCGGACAAGCACTACCAGGTATCATGATTGCATTATTTACATTTTTCTGCTCTCTTTTGGGATTATTTATAGTCCTTGGTACAGTATTTGCATACACGAGGAGACAACTTAGACAAATGCAGCGGAGCAAGTCTATAATCCCGAGAGCGTGGTCGATAATTATCAGACCGAAACCGTTCACTGTCAAACAACTCAAGAGAATGAAGAAAGTAATAATAACGTTGTCGCTCGTGGTGTTTGTCGGTTGTATCGCCGTATTGACGACAGGAATGCGAGTGAAAAACTCCATGATTAAATTCGGCGACGTGATGCTTAAATCCGTGGTTGAAGTTGAGGAATCGACTTTGAAAATAGAAGAGGTTCTTTCGCGCGAAAATGTGCTCGAGAATGTAACAATTTTTGTCACAAAACTTAACGAAGACATCGCGACCATTAAAGACTCGTATAGCAGTGTCAGATCTGGATTGACGTCGAGTTCTACAGGTATACAGTTCTCGCTAATCACACTGAGCGTGTTCATAAGTTTGCTCGCATTTTTAGCGGCATTTTTCGTATACATCGATCAATGGAAGCTCGTCATCGTCTTGAATATAGTGATATCTATTTTTACGTGTTTTGCTTGGTTGTTATGGTCTGGCATCACGATGATGGGTACGATGACGAATGATATGTGTTATTCAATGCAAGTATTCATCGAACCTGGAGGGGAGGGTTACGTAGATTTGATGGATATATTGCCATGTATATCTGCGCCAATTGCGGTGAGTTCAATTGGTATCCTGAGGGCAACAATTGCGGATAGGGCATACCAAATAAACCGTCGCATAGTAAAGAACGATCCATTGATGGGCCTACCATTGGTTTGCCACGAATATGTCGAGGTGAGCGCTGAATTAACGTGCGATCCTGCAGGGAGGTATGCCGAAACGAATTACGCAAAAACGGTCTGTTCGGCTTATATGAACGGCGTTCTGGATGATGAGTTGAACGTTGGCGAGATGACATTTTGGCCGAGCGTGAAAGGTGTCGGCGGGAGCTGTGGTTACGGTAACACATCATGGAGCGCGTTTGGTTCGCGCGGTCATACAGTTTCTGCGGTCAATTTTGAAGCTGCGTACACGGTGTGCGAAAATAAAGAAGGCTGCGAGAATTCGTTGCCGTCGAAGATGCCTCGGGTTCCGTATACGGAATCTGTAGACTTGTCCTCTTCCGTCGCTGCGCTCGTGGATATCGTTCCTGACACACAAAAGCTTCTCACGTGCCAGTATGTCAAAGAAGCATTTGAGAGTGCGGTGCCTTTGTGCGACGAAACTATATCGAACTTGACGTATCTGTGGCGGGGTAACTCGATCGTCGCTACTGCGTTATTCGGGTTATGGATTGCACTCTTGCTCGCCGTGCAACGTCTATCGAACAAACACTTACTCGTGAAAAATATGATGGGAGCGATGAAATCCTTCAAAGCCATGAAGGCAGGAGGAAAAGGATCTTTTCTAGGCGGGAAAGTAGAAATACCCCCGTTTGTTCAGCGGATGAAGGCAACTTTTTGGACGACGGGGAAAGAATTGAGAGGAAGTCCTAGTTTCAAACCGAACGCAACGACGAGAATATCAAAAAGATTCAAAAAGCACGTTCAAGCGATTGGAGAATTGCGAGTGAAGATTAAAACTCTTCAGATGAGCAAGTTAAGACGCTTAATTGCGAACATGACACCGCGTTGTCGAGAAGAATTGAAGAAACAAAAGCTGAAAGAGATCAACGCAATTTGGAAACAAAACGCCAAACGCTTAAGCTCGTTAAGAAAAGAAGAGATGAGTTTATCTTTTCGACGTGAAGAAAGTATAAAAAGAAAAGAAGAAGATGATGAACGAATACGAAGAGCCGAAGAGGCTGCTAATAACGCCGAACGTTCGATCACGTTTCAGAACGGCGGTGAGGATAGTTCAGAAGACGATGACAACGATGATATTTACAACTCTCCGGAAACGTTGGCTACGTTTCAGACCAACGATGACGCTGCTGACGACGACATCTACAACCAGGCGTATCTAGGAGCACCGTTCTCTCAATCTCCTCAGAACGAGGTTGAACGAATGCTTTTCGCGCTCGACCGCGCAAAATTAGAGGCGCAAAAGAAAGAGACGGCGACACAAGTAGCCATATCAACCATGATGGAACAACTTGGCACAGCGCGAGCGACAGTTGCGAAAAAAAACACAGAACTAACATCATCACCAATCGAAAGTATGCTCGAAACGATCGAAAAGGCTCGAAATAACGCCGCCAAAAAACTTTCGCCTGTCGCTCCTGCTCCTGCGGGGACAGTCGCTTTACCCATGCCATCTCCTCCTCTCACACCACCACCACCACCGGCGACGACGACGACGACGTCAACGTTTGCCGTAGGCGCTCTGCTTCAACAACTCGAACGAGCTCGAGCGCAAGTTACTTCGAAAGCGACCCCGCCTTCGCCGCCGCCGCCACCGCAAAACGTCACGGAGCGAATGATACAACAGTTATCCGAAGTGCGAGAGCGTTTGTTGTTAGCCGTGAAGGAAGATGATGCCGTTTCTGCCGCCGACGATAAAGACGACCATTCAAGTTAGAAGAGAGTTAATATTATTTAGAAATGAAAAAAAGGTGATGCGTGATGCGTGACTTGTTGATATATTGAATAATAAATACAAAGTGTATGGGATACATTCTAATCTTTACCGAAGCGTGAAAACCTACGAAGATATTGTGAAAGATGCCCCCTACTTCAAAGAAAAATGGGCGGCATGTGCACGATGGCGAAAGGATGAGAAAGATAGATTGTTTACGAACTCGTTTTCTTATCAAGTCAAAGAAATACTGGAACGCCGACAAAAAATACTCTTTGCGATAAAATTGAGAAGAACTTCGGTATTAAGATTGCCGAAGATGACCGCGTTTTAATCGCGATGAAAAACTGTTTTGAACGCCTCCTCTTTCGAAACCTCTCTTTTTTCCCGCATGGAGAGGGCCCGAAGCGTCTTCACGACTGGCTTCATGCCATATTGTTTGAAGCTTTTTCCGTCTGCAGATCGCTCGAAAGTAGAGCCGGAGTACAGAGTTTCATCGTCGACTGGCGAAGGTGCCCAAAATTTTTCTTTCAAAGAAGGAGCACTGCGAATCGAATTAACGAGACGGTCGCGGTTCGATAAGCGGTTAATGGCCACCGCGTACGATGACCAAACACAAAATAAGGAGAGCGCCAAGACAACATTTCCTACCCACATAATCTTGAGGTTGTCAATAGTCGCGTCACATTCTACAGAAATCGCTCGGAAGGCATCCTTTACGTAACCGCAAGTCACTAATTTTTGTGTCTCCGGAACGATTCCAATCAAACGAGATGCGTGTTCGGCGGCATCTTTGGCTCGATTATATTCCGATGAAGCTATTTTACCGGCATACATGCGTTCAAAGTCAGACGCATCAACTACGTGTCGACGAGAACCAAGATTGTTATCCCAAGTACTGTTTGAATAAACGCAACCTTTTTCGGGATAAAAGTAGTAACCGTTGGCATCTATGTCGTTGTTCAACAGGCCCGCATCTTTCGCTGAGCATACTGTTTTGGCGTAGTTTGTTTGGGCATAATTCCCAGTTGGACTGCAGGTTTCATCTACCGAAACAGCCACGTACTCCTGGCAAAGTAAAGGGAGCTCCCGAAGTGGATTGTTATCGACGATGATTTGGTTCGCTTCGTATGTTTTTTCCAAAATCGAATTTCTAAGCATGCCAATGGTATCGACGGCGGCCTTAGCGCTCACGCATGGTAAGATATCCATCATGTCCATTCGCACTTCACCATCCGGTTTAACAAATTCTTCCATCGACCAGCACATATCGTTCAAAAAAGTGCCCACCATGGTAAGCAAACCCCAGGAAATCCATGATAAAATCATAAATAGAGATGTGAAAACAGTCACTATGATGAGCAACTTCCATTGATCTTTGTAGACAAGAAAGGCAGAGAAAAGTATCGTCACGATCATGCCCCCTGCACAGGCCCCTGCAATGCCTTGAATCAACGACTGCTGCTCGTTTACCAAGTCTTCAGCAGCTCCGTATATTTCCTTAATATCATCAATATCGTCATTCAATTCAGAAACAAACTCTGAGTACGTTAACAATTTCGTATCAGTTCCATCTACTCCCAAGGTTCTCTCTATCTCCAATGTCGCATTTTGCATCTCAGACACAGACTCGTTCGCAATCGTCAACAAATGTTCGCGCGATCCTAACTCTACTAATTGCGAAACTATTACACCAAATCCAAACAAGCTCATGATCGAAAAGAAAAAGATGACTAACTTCGTCGTTTGCAGCTGCTTCGTTGTGAACGGTTTCGGTTTGAACACGTTGTTGCAAGAATCGAAGCAAATACCAAAACACTTTGTAATGGACACTGCAACCGTCAAGAGAACTGAAACAATCGCCAACAGTAACCCAAATCCTGCGAGAACGAAACCTGGAAGCGCCTGACCCAGGAGCATGCCCTGATAATCTGCATCTTTCATCGGATTCTGAAACTTGCCCTTGTAAGTTGAGCCCGTGTTTGGATTATACCTGGGCATGCTGAATAACGTCTCTGGCAATAGCGATTCATCATTCGAAGTTTGTCTTGTTGGATAAGTCTGATTCGTGTTATGAACCTCTTCATCGTGGTATGGAGCCTTAGCGCTTAGCGCCGTAGGTACAGCATCGTCATCCACGAAAGGCGGAGCATCATCTGGAGGAGGAGAAGGGGGAGGAGCGAATAGGCTACTCAACATTTCAATATCTGGAGGTGGTAATGGCGGGGGCGACAGCGGTGGTGGTGACGGCGGTGATGATGGAACTGGAGGTGGTGAGGGTGGAGGAGAAGGACAGGAGTTTGTTTGCACACATGGCGGGGGCGGTGGTGTTGGTGGCGGCGACGGTAAAGGTGGCGGTGACGGAGATGGTGACGGAGGAGGAAAAGGCGGAGGAGAAGGGGACGGCGGCGGTAAAGGTGGCGGTGACGGTGAAGGTGACAGAGGTGGTGGTGGCTCTGGATGCGGCGGTAACGGAGCCGGCGGCGGACTTGGAGATGGAGGTGGTAAAAATGGGGGTGGACTTGGCGACAGAGGTGGTGGGCTTGGTGGTTGACTCGGAAAGAGCGGGGTTGGAGGGAGGTCTGGTGCTAAAGTTGGCGGGCTTGGTGGCAACGGCTCAGGTGTTGACGATCCATTTGTGCCGCTACCATTCGTAAAGGTAAACTTCTCCTGCATCGGCGAAATGCCAGACTTAATGCAAACCATATTGCCATCTCTGTTTTGCAAAGAGAAAGACTCTGCGCATACATCACAGGCAGTCAAGTTTGCGCACGAAGCTGTTGAAGCATTCGGACCACATGGTGTTGGAATACACATGATACAACCTAGCATGCACTCAGTCGTGTCAAACGCTTCACTCATCACGGGATCAACCTTTGTAGAAGTCTCTTGGGAGTCAGAAGGTATACTTGTCCCATTTAAAACTTCTGATTCTGAGCCTTCAAGATTATCGTCAAATTGCGCGTCTGTTTCGAGCTGCTCCGTAAGAGCCACATCGTTCGAGATAAACACCGAATTTGGTATGTTCAAGAGCGCGCGCCCATTTGGAATTAAAGTCAAATCTTCAGCGTCGCCACTTGGAACGGGAAAATGTTTATCAATCATGTCCTGCATTATTTTGAGCGTCCTTTGGTGTTGCGCAAAGTCTTCGCGGTTCTTCCTCGCAAACGTCATGGGGATGGTAAGTGTATGCGTCCTATTGATCACGCTTTGTGAGTCAAGAGATGGCGTGGAAGCAAAATGTTCTCCTTCATCCAAGAGTTCGCGTCGCATACGTTTCCTAGAAAAGCCGGCACATCTCTTGAATTCCGTCCATATACTTTCCGATTTGTAACTCATCCAACCATTTGCATAAAGCCCCAGCGGATCCGAGAGTCCATCCAAGTACACATTCTCTTCATCCACCCACGAGTTCCACTGACCTAAAAATGACTTGTACTTTCCGAGCATACTCAACACGGCGCCAAAAGCTGCGCGAGGAGAAACCTTACCCGTACGCATCCAAATCGTCCACGCGTCGTTGCCTGCACCAGTTGCTTCGAATTCCGGATAACTGTTTGAATTACCGCACTGATGATAAAACGGAGGAACGTTAAACTGCATCTTCGCAATGTGCCCGTGGGGGATTTTTGTCATCAACTCTTCGAGATAATCGAGTATTTCTGTATGGTTCGTCCCAGCAAGCGAAGCGCCGCAGAAGTCTCTACTTTGTACAGCTTGTTCACGAGTAGACGTTGGTCCACAACCAAAGAGAAATCTAAAGATAGAAGCAAAAGCAGCCTTCGATGTGGGACCATCTGATCGCGCGTAATACGTTCGAGTATCCTTTGTAATACCAAGAGGTTCATTCCAAGCTGCGGCGATTAAATACGGTTCCCAAGCTCTAACGATATCCATTCCTGAGCCGTGTGCACTTCTATAACACGGTAAGATTTCAACGTACATATCGAGCTTCAAACTAAGTTCTCCCAACGTTCCGCCGCCTTCCGAAGTGGCGAGCCAATCTATGGTGTCTTCCAACCACTTGATTGGACCAGATTCTGTGACTCCTCTCGGGCATTCAAACAAAGATCCTGCCGCTGTTATGAGCTTTTTGAATGTAGTTGGATAGTGTTTGGCAATCGGCTTGAATTGCTCGAAGCTTTTTTGGAACAACGTGTTATTTTGCAAAGTCGTCATACCCAGATGCGTAAAAATCAGTTCCCAAGCTTCTGGAACGTGTGGATTCGTCTCGAGTGCACTCAAAAGAATATTAGTAACGCGGGGTAGAATAGAGTTGCCCTCGTTGTAATACACACTTCGAAACAAATGCATCGCGAGACGAACATCCACATACGAATCAAGACCGACATTCATGGCCAAAGGTATGGAAGCTGCGTGATCTATAGACGTTTCTCGTGTTTTTATTGGACCAGAAATATCATCGGTTTGAATAGGATTTTCAAAAGTTGTCCAATAACTGCTATAAATCCAGTTATATTTATCCATTTCCCAATGCCCATCGGGGGCCTTGTCAAAAGCGATTGCAGCCGCGTGCATAGGTTGTCCAACCATAGTAGATGGACTCCCACGACATCCAGTGTTACCCACAGCCATGTATGCCAGACGACCACACATTCCACCATCTTGGGATATTCGTGGGAGAGAATCCTTGTGCCAGTTTGATTCCATGCATTGAACTTCATAGCGCATGTAATTATCAGAGTAGTGTGCCCAAGAAGTGGCCAACCCTGGTGTCCGGTCAGCGTCTACAAATTCTTTCTTATCGGGCTCGGCAAGTTCATATCTCGACCAAATCCATTCGCACTCATCTGTCGGAATATGCGCAATCGTGTGTATCGACATTAATGGCCAAGGAGCCTCAGTTACGTCAAAAGTTGACGAAGCATAGCTTTGTTCATTCTTCTCCAACAAATACTTCAAAGCCGCGAGCGGAGAAGGATTCGGAGTTCTGGAGAGTGGTGCTGAGTTCCAGTTGTCTCGTCCTTTGTTAATGCGACACATCCTTTGAAATTCTTTCGAGGTAGTCCACACGGATGGGTCGTCTTCTCGCGCTGTCGTTGAGTTCATGATCCCACGTAAATTACGGTACTTATGGGCAAACGATAAAACCAAATCTGCAATGCTGTCGTCATCGTAGAAAGAAGTCAAGAAATTTCTTAAATATCGCACATGCTCGATTACTCGCGGATGCATCGGCATCGAAAGCGAGAGAAATGACTTACGAAGTGGCACATCTTGCTTACCCCTTTGGTTCTGAATCCAAGTCCATACTGGATCATCTGCCAATATGCTTGAGGTATTCTTCGCGTCCTGTTCATTCAAATCGAGAACCAATTCTTCCAATTCTTCCGACCATGTTTCCGTGCCGATCACCGCATCGTAAAGATCTCTAGCCTCTTGAGTACCTCCTTGGGGTGTCTGGGTCAGGTACCCGCGTCTCATGAAAACGTGAGACTTAGAACTCCTTTCTAGAGTCTGAAACTTCAACGAACCACGAAAAATAAGCGAACATTCTCCCATGGTTGCGCCTAGCTTTGGTTCAAACATTACACCTATGCATCCAACCGAATCTTTGCAAACTTTCACACATGTATAGATCGCGGCAGAAAAGCTATGACTCGCAGGTGCGCCGCGGAATTCATAAAATACAAAATCGTCGTCTTTATCCATCGCGTGTGACAATTTCGAATAATCGACGGAATTTTTGAGCACGTCGTCCATCGCAGGTGGCAAAGAAGTTTCCAAATCTGCGCTTGCAGTAAAGGTACACGTCTCAATGGCACTAGGTTTCGTCGTTGAGTTGCACGCGTGGTTAGAGTAGCACTGCGAATTCGCAGAGCATGAAACGTCTCTCATCTTTATGCCACCAGTAGCTGGGGGTACTGCCCTTTTGCAATCTCCCCAATCACCCGTTGTCCAGCTCGGATTTGTTGAGCAGTCAGTGGCGTCGCCAACCAATCCGTATCCTTCTTCGTTTTCGATGATGCTATCTACTCCAATCTTCAGTGAGCACGGACCATTAGTAGATTGGCCACTTTTGGTCCAGCCATTGAGACAAGTGCACTTATTGTGCCAATTCCATGGGGAACTTTTGTGCATGACTTTTTCACATGTGCCGTGCTCGCACTCGTTCTCACACTGTAGACACTTTTCGTGTTTTAGACACGATTGAAGGTTCGCAGGTTCAGCAGCTTCGCATTGCGCTCGACTACTGATAGTTCCATCACTTTTTGCGCAGATATTTTCTCGTGTTTTTGTGTTGCGATCTGCTTGTTCTAAGCACACGTCGTGCGGCGCTTTTGTACACTTTTCCCATGCAAGCGGGGTCCACTTAGAACTTTTCCACCAATCGGAGTCTTCTGGTTTCGCGTAGCACTCTAAATCGGTATTGTTCCGACGAGGGGCGAAACAGCAGCCAGAATCTTCGCACGTTTGTCTTCGAATGCTTACACTTTGAGCCGCACTGCGAGTACTTCTTTCGTACAAAGCGCACGGCCTGCGCACAGCCGATTCAGACCGACACCACGGAAGACAGCTGAAAGTGTTACAGCTTCTATACGTCGCTGGTTTTTGTGCAATACCTCCGCAGAGAGCATCCTCCGCCTGACTGTAATCCTCGATCGAACTACCTTTTGGCGCGCAGAACACGTTCCGACTTTGCGAACCAACTCCGCAGGGTTTAGAGCAAACGCTCCACGGGGCGGTGTTCCACGCCAACTTATTCGAGTTAAAAAAGCTGTGAAGAGGGTGTGAACTCACTACAAACGCCGTTAAATTTGCTTTCTTGACTGGATGCTCAAATTCAACTGGTGTAAAAATATTCTTGCCGAAATCTGAGGATCCCTCTGGTGCTTTTAGTTCGCTATTCACATTTCGACCATGCGGCGTGTTTGAAGTTTTGCATAGTTGCACATACAAAATGCAATTATTCGTTGCGTCATCGTAGCTTATTTCGGTGCAGTCTTCATTCTTGCACGCCGCGATGCAGTCATTGAGTGAGTTTTCGCTGCGAGTCATGAGTTGTGTCGATGTCGAGCAGTCTCTTTGCTCGCATACACGTGCGTACCCTTCGTCCGGATCTGGATCAGTGCGAATCACTTTCGCGCAGCGGAGATGTCTTTCTTCATTTTCACCGTACCAACCCATCCATTGATTGTTCTGCTTATGCTGCAAACCCTGTAGAGCTATACCAGTTGCAACAAAACCATCCGGACAGTTGGTGTAGAAAAGATTTCGAAAATCACCGTGATGGACTTGCTCGTGTGCACCATTTATGCCTTTAGAAAGGAGCGTGCTATCGTTTGTCCATCCTTCATCTCCATCGAGCGCAAAACCACTGGGGACCCCGCAACGTGCCAACACTCCTTGCTTCGTGGGATCAGTCTCGTTATTTGCAAATGCGAGTCCTGTGAGCACTTCTCCAGCGGGACAGAGGATTTTTAAATTCGGGTGCGATTCGCGGGTTGGAAAGTTTCGAATCTTCGCATAATAATCAGCAGGCTCGCGAAACAGCGTTTCTGACGAAACCCATTCATTTAAATATCTTTCGTTCTTTAGGCAGAGAGACGTATTTCCAGAGAAAGAACATTCAGAAAGTAACTCCCCGCCCGCTGTGCAACGCATGGTCTGAATTGGCCCGTGTAATTCATCCGTAATCATGACCACTTCTTCGCCGCGGAATTTCGTGTTTTGAAAAACAAGATCGAAACCAAAGTGTCTTGTGTCTGAAATCTCCTCGCAATCACAATAGCCCCAAGTATTCTTATTGCCATCCGTGTAACAGATGGGACGATTCGGCTCGGGTTTAGGTCCGCCCCATTCCAAGGTATCTTGTGGAACAAAGCATACTTGACGCCAGTCATCGTCATCGGACCATTCATCTCTGAAAAAGCCTCCCCAATTGTTTCCATGATGTCCTCCGATGTCACACGGAAAATTTTTCCCATTACCACCGCACGTAGACTTGTGACGATGCAGGTAAAGACCGCCCGTAAAGAATACACTTGCAGACGTGTTGAATGAAATCGTGCTTTCATTCTGGACGGAGAAGGATTTTGGATTATCGCTTGCTCTGGCACTGAGTCGCGGGAAAATTTTTGAATCTCCCGAAACCGTTGCGTATAGGACATCCCAAAACTTTCTCCACCTGTAATCACCTTCTCCACTTTCTCGGGCGTCCATTCGCTCGCGTATGTCTTTCACGTCAACGACGGCCGGGTCAAAGTTCTTCTTTGCGCTTATCGGCAAAATTGTCGAATTAAAGCCATTCAGATCGACATTCTTTTGCTTTTCAGCGAATGTTGTCGGATGATTTCTTTCACCTTTTACAGAGAAATTGATCTCTGGTTGCCAATCCCATTGGTGAAGCCCGCCACGTTCCCTTGCAAAAGATTTAAGAATGAAAACTTGTGGATGGGCGGAAGTCTTTCGAAGCCTGATACTCTTCGAACGCATACGACAAACAAAGTTTATCTCTTCGCCGCTCATGCTCGTCTTTGTGTAACTGAATCCGACGCAACGGTCGTTCGCTACGCAACGCTGAGCACAGAACTCGGCAAATTTCGAGTCTTTTGCATGGTGCAACTGTTGCCAGTTACCGGGAAGAGGGTCAACCATGTTTTCATATGAATGTATCAAGTACGGTGGGACGTGCTTGTAGAAATCGCGAGAACTGTACGATTCGTAAAGGTCACCACCAATTGCAATCGCCCGAGAGTACCTCTGAAATAGGTTATAATCTTTGTCGATATCGAGGCTGCCGAGATCGTGCCAGGACGTTGGTGAGTTACAATCCGGATCGTACCATGGTTTATCGCACATGCAAACTTGGTGCCTAGGATCTTCATAATCGTATCCAAAAATCTTGTTTCGACCATCCAGAACAAAGTCCTTCCAAAGCATATACGGTTGATTGACGTTTGGAAGCTCACCACCGAAATCCACATCATTTCGCTTTATACGTTCAATCGTTTTAAAATTTAAGATTGGACCAACGAGTGGGTAGTTCTCCGGTCGCACGATATAGTCGCCCTGTTTACTCAAAGTAGTCTCGGCTGCTACGTCGACTGTTTTATCCCAAATACCGACGCAACCCGTTCTTTCACCCTTCAGAACTTTAATTTTCGCCTCATCCGGGATTATTGCCGCGCCGCGTTCAACAAACAGCACATCTTGCTTCACTCCCCCAATTGCAGGAGAAGAACCGAGAACGAATTGAACCTGATTTAGTCTGTACATCGGAATGCAAACATGTGCCCCTTCTGCAAAACCGTACTTCGCACCTATGCCGGCGGCACAATGGGTGTGTTTCCCGCACCCGCTATCAGCATAAAATTTTCTCTTTGCCTTGCACGAACTTTGGTATTCTGTACAGGGCATCATTCTCCTGGAATCTTTTCGGATGGACGGACCATAGTCACCAGCATTGCAAAAACCGTCCATACCGTTTTCTAAGCGCAAAAAGAAGCGCTGATCATCGACTTCTTTTTCAAAAACCGTCTGAAACTCCGACGCGTTTCCCCAAGTGCTGACAGGATACTCCACACCTAAGTATTCCAGAGTCTTGTTTTTGTAACTACTGGGATAGAGATAGGCAGTAGATCCCGCGGGGTTCGCCTGATTCTTTTTATATTCAGAGCAACACGCTGGATATATGTACCCATAGTCTGCCGTTGTCTTATTAATGCAATGCTTAGAAGGACCGCTGGGCACAGAACTGACTCCGTGGCCGGTGCCTTCGTTCCAGATTCCAGTGGTAGCCTCAGTGACAAATACACCCTCGCTGTTTTCTCCACAATCCGTAGAAGACCACAAGTAGGACCCGGGACAGGTAAGAACGGAGTATTTTCTTGGTACTCCAAAGTAAATTTCGTCCACAGTACACATGCGTGCACCTTCGGCTTTGCAATATTGCTTGGCTGTCGCAAAGTTAACCCCGGGATTCTTTTCAGGGTAAAGGTTCTCCTTTTGGTTCCAGTTATGCATATATTTCCAATAATCACCTTTAGTAAGATTCTGCCACTTGTTCGTAGGTTGAAAACATCCAGTAGGTTTTCCTGCGATGTAAGCTGGATGATTATCAGCTGAATTGATTGCAGCCCAGCTTTGATCTGGACCGTCGTCAAACTGTAGTGTTCCGCACTTGCGCAAGGATGGATGACCCCCGAACAATCCGTTGTTGCCAAGGCCATCTAAACCGCCGCCATTATGATGCCAGATACCCCCAGCATCTGCCAAAATATCTTTCACTCCCCACGTTGTGCCGAGTTCTTCGCAAGATCTCGTGACATTACACGCACCATAACATGTATCCGATGTATCCGGCTTCGAAAGCTGGAACTGAAGGCACTCATTGTCACTCAAAGCTTGCCCCGCTTCTCCTATGCACGTTGCAGTGCGACTTTTTGTGAGCTCACATTCAGCTGAATCATCGCTTCGCGGTGCATAGGTTTGGCTATTATCCGACGGCGCACAATCCGACCACGGACCGACAATCCACCGGCGTTGAATTGAAGCTTGCCAAACGTAAACTTTAAAATCCTTCGCTTTCATGGTTGTGGGTTCTGATCGTCTCAACCCGCAGTCAGAGAGTCTGCAAATTTTAGATGGTTCGTTGAACGATATCACGTTGCAACCAGGCGTGTTACGACATGCACTCATGCAATTCATTGTCGTGTTCAGCTTACTTGTAGTGATGTGATCACAACCTCCCGTACCTGCCACCATGAGATCTTGGCCCTTCCACGTCCAGCTGACTTTATCGGTCGGATACTCGCCGTAGGTGTTGTTTTCTGCGCGCAGTGCGTCGCATCCATCATCACCCGAACCCGGTTGCGGGTCTGCAAATCCAACATGATATTTGCAAGATTCACCCGTGCTCGTTGAACCTCGACAACACGTCGATCCACATTTTGTGATTGTCGTGTTTAAGAGATCGTCACCTTCTCTAGCGTCGTGCATCACATCACAGCCGGGAACATTCGATACGCTCGTACTGCGGTAGCATCGGAAACCAACAGTTTGCTTGGGTGACCAACAGCATCCCCAAGACTCGCATGTAGATCTTCGTGATGTCAAGGAAGCGTATTTTGACTCGTCGCTCGCATAATATTCATCGCAAGGTATTCGATCTCCGATCGCAGGGACCGCACAACCCTCTGCGCACGAGTGTGTGTTGCATTCCTTCGAAATTATAGGATTTTTCCCACAGAATGCATCGTCCAGAGTGTTTCCATCAGTTCGATTTACACAAGTAGAGCTTCTTGTCAAAAATCCTCCTCCGCAGGTCGTTGAGCACTCACTCCACGTTCCAAACTCCCAAACAGCGCCAATAATGTCTTGCGCAAAGCAATCAGTGTAACCCCACGTGCCCGGGAGCGATGTCATGCAAAACGGTCGGTCGGAAAAATCAAGCGCCACGTCCCAATACTCCTCATTGTTGTATTCAAAAGGGAATTTGCACGGGGCACCGTTCGCGTTTCCTTCGCAAGTTGATAGAGCACGTGAGTAGACGGTGATTCCCGGAGATGTGACAAAGGCACTCGGCTTTGGAAGCGAATTCAACAACACTGCGTTGAACTTTGTTTCGGAAAGTATTGCTCTCAACGCTGGACTCACACTCCCTCCCCTCTTTTTCGCGCGTGCGTGCGCATTAGAAATGGCGTCGCATGTCGTGCCAACTTCGTTTGCTTGTAAACCCTGTCCGGATTCTATTGCCTCGATGACGTCCCACTTCCGCGCGTCCTCATCGCTTCTCACGACGCCATCAGATGTCGCGCTGAACGCATCGACGAGATCTTCGCGAGATATTGCAGCAGAACACGTGTAAAAACCTGCGCACCGATGATCCGCGTTGCACACGTTTTTGATATCATCGATTGTACCATTTATAGCAGTATATACCGAATCCACCAAATCGCTCATCGGCAAAAACGCATTTTGGTTCTCTACGAATGCTTTTGGCACCCGTTTCTTTCGATAAAAATCGGATTCTTCGCTCTTTCTCAACGAGTATCCTCTCGCCACGAGCGTGCACTTCATCTCGTTCAACGCGTATGAAAATCCTGCGCACGCTTCTCCAATGTCATCGCACGTCTGTTCGCAGTTTTCCAATCCCGATACGCGCTTCGCGGCGAGTTGCTCGCCAACCGAGGCTATCCTCGACCCGTGATGAAAGTAGTTTTCTGTTGTTTTGGCGCGAAGAAGTCAAGCGACACATGGTGAGTCTCGCGAAACGCAGGTATCCTCAAAAAGTCACGTATCGCGCGCGTGCGAGCAAAGAAAGAAAGGGGATAAATAAACGGGGGGTCATTTCGCTCTCCAAAATAGATATTTCTATTTCCTCACCTCTGGACGAAGATTCCGCCAATAAGCGTCTTTGGGTCCTTATCCCACCGTCCGCGTTTTGTTCGCGAACCTCGCTCTCCGCGATCGTCGAGTCGCCGCCGCGAAAGATCACCGCGAATACTGCGACAAGGAAGAGGGCGGCAACGAAGAAGAGCGTCCCTCCTCGGGTTGTTTGGACATTGAAATCCGCCAGCACTCGATGCGTGTCGTGTCGACCGTTTTGTAAACGACGACGATTTTTCTCCTTCCCTTCGACCGCCGCGAGATCTGTCGCGTCGTCCCCTCGACGACGACGCGAACCGGGTTCGGGTCGCGACGACAACAACCTCGACGACGACAACGACGACGCCATTTCTCGCGCCGGTCGTCCAAAGTTTTTTGCACCAAATTGAAGAAGACAACGATCCTTTTTAGATTATGGGGGTGTCGTCGACCGTTTGAAAAATGTCGTCGACCGTTTGAAAAATGTCGTCGACCGTAAAAAAATATCTGGCATGCATGCATTTTTGGACGAAGAGTTGAGTAGGTTCATCGTTAGCGGTAGTATTACAAATTTTTCCGGTTCGTCTTCGAGGATCCTTTTGAAGCTGCTGACGTCGTCTATTTGTTCTTCTTGTAACTATCATCATCACTACTCGTCCATGAATCTGGTCTGTTCCCTGGATCTTTCCTGTACGGATGGTTATCGTCGTGTTGGCGAGCGCCGGAGTGTGCCCAAATCATTTCCTGCTGGTGGTCGAACGCGTCTTCCCGATTATTTTTTTCGAACCAGTGGCGCGCGTCTCCGTGTCTCCGTCTCCATACTTTCACTCGAACGTCTTTCTCCACCAGCAACGGCGGCCAGAATGGAAACTTTTTGTTCAGTTTTACGCCGGTGAACCCTGTTATATTTCGCATGATTTCATACCCAGGCATTTTTTTGTATTCGTTGATTAACCAATCGTGCCCTCGGGAACCGTCGTCGTGTAACATGGCATGTAAATGACCCTCGTGTTCGTGGTCTTGCCTTTTGTTGTACACGATGACATTGTGATCGTGATAAGCTTGACCGAACCGAGAGGCGCCAGTTTGCGCGCAATGGTCGTCTATGTGTATTCTCACGTGGCCCAAGGTGTTGTGTTCCGGGTTCAACTCGTGGAAGGCGGCCAACGCTTCTCCGCCGGGATAGTTTGCGATGGACGCTTTGGCGAATACACCAATAGATACGGCACAACTGACTATAACGCCCATCCACGCGAGCGCGTGCAAAAAGTTTCCCTTTATGCTCTTCTTTCTGTTCAAATTCAATCGGTGCATCCCGCACGCCGCGCAGAAATTGAACAAAGGCAAGACCGGGAAGAGAAAACGCAACTCTTTGTGTCCTAAAAAGGAATACGCGAAAACAAAGAACGACGCGATCATAAACGCCGATCGACACCGGCGTTCGTGTTTAAACCCATACATACTCAACGGATACGCAATCAATAACATTCTCGGCAACGCGGAATACGCGTACCACAAAAACGGTTTCGTCCCGTAATGGTGACTGCGATTCGCGCCCATCGGATTGTTAAAGGACAACACTTCCCACTCTGGCCATAAATATTCCTGATCCCAATGTCTAGAATCAATCGTAATCGACGTGTACGCAAATGCCACGATCACGGTTACCATCGCCATAACGTTCGCGATAATCCGCAAACTCGCGTCGTATATATCTGTCATGCGAAACAACGTCACGTGTATCCCCAAAGGCGCCAACAACAAAATATTATCGCACCGAAATACCGCCACGACCATGCTCACAACCATTATCGCCAAAGTATCCAAAACCGAACTATTAATCTTTAATCCTCTCCTCTCTTCTAACCATAAACTCAACGCAAACGTCGTCAACGCGAACGCAAAAATGTTCGGCAACGGCCTCGAAGCGTAAAACGCCAGATGAAACTGCGCCAACGCGAGAGCGCTCGCATATACCGCGACGTCGTTCCCGAAATTCTTCCCTATTACCGTATGAAACTTGTGCAAGGAAAGAGTCGACGCGCAGCCTAAAATCATCCTCATTATGACTTGATAATGCATTTTCGTTCTCACGAACGTCTCTTCCTCGTTCAAAGTCTCCACCAAGTGCTTCAATTCGCCCCAAATCTTCTCGTTTCTAAACACGCGTTTCGTCACCGGATTACTGTTCACGACGAGCTCCATCGCTCTCGCGAGAATCTTCGTCATTTTTCCTAACACTAACGGCCCGAGAAATGTCCGAGGCACAACCCCTGGGAACTCTTTGTGGTCCCACACGTTGAGTTCATTCGCGTGGAAAATCACGTCGTGCGTTGCTTGCGTGTTGAACGATTCCTCGACTTTCGTGTACGGCGCCACGCGGACGTACGCGAGGACGAGGAGGAAGAAAAAGAGGTCGAAGAGCTCGTGCGAAATGGTGCGAAGAAGGCGTTTTCTCACGCGCATTTTCGTGTGTTTTTAAACAACGCGCGAACGCGCAGCGGAGAGAGAAGGACTAATTTTCTTACCGAAGAGTCAAGAGAGGGAAGAGAAGCTTTTTATTTGCTTTTGGCCGAAAAAACCAAAACGAATTTCCGACTGCCCGAGAGCCTTTTTTCGTCTTCCTTTTTCCTTTCTTTCTTTCTTCGTATTTCTTTCTATGTATACGAACGGACTCTTGAGAGGACGGCTTTTTTTTGGACCTTCACCTTCACCTTCAAAACGCTCCTTCTCTAAGAGAGACAGAGAGACATCATAGAGAAAACACATTTCACAGGCAGAAGAGAGGAAAGAAGCGAGGAAGAAGAAGCGAGGAAGAAGAAGAAGAAGAAGAAGGAACTTTTACGACTTTTACGACTTTTACGATGAAAACGCGTTCCTCTCGGTCCTTTTCTTCTTTTAAACAACCCGTCTTCTTTTCCTTCTTTTCCTTCCTCGTCTTCTTTGTGTCTCTCAAAGAGCGTTGGTTTTGTCGTTCGACGAGACCGTTTTTCTTCTCGACATCATCATCTCTCCTCGAAATCGTCGGAGAAGCTTCTCCGTGTAGTAGGGGAATGTTCCTCTTCGCTCGCGCCGAGGAGGAAGAAGAAGAAGACAAAGGAAAAGAAGAAACTATCGCGACGACGACGAGGAGGAAAAGAGAGAAGAAAAAGAAGAGCAAGAAGACCAAGAAGAGTAGTTATAAAAGTAAAATCGAGCAAACGTACGGGGATAGCGGGGAAATCATCGTGGAAGATTTAACGGATCCGAAGAATTTCGACGAACGGAGAGGCGACGTGCGATCGACGCACCAGATGTTCGACGAAGGCGCCGCCGACGAAGACGACGCCACGCGCGGGGTACTGGATGAGTTACAGGAAATCGGGAGGTCGGTGGATGATGTCGTCGACGACGGAGGACCGGCGATACCGAGGCATTACGTTTGCAACGCGTGTCAAGCGTCGGCGAGGAAGTTGGACGCGGATTTGTCCGAGGAAGAGTTTAAACGCGCCAGAGGGGCGAAATACGGGAAGAAGTTGGAAGAGATGTACTATTTAGACGCGATCGAGAAGAGTTGCGACGACCACTCGCACTGGCACTTGTACCACGCGCACGTCTACGACAGCGGGTACCATTATTTAGCCGGACCTTTGTTAGGGAACGCGAGCTCGAGAGGATCGAAACCGTTCGTGAGAGATTTTAGCAAACACAGATGGCCGAAACGATTGAGAGATTACTGTCAAGTTCTGGTGAACGAATTCGACGAGGAAGGCGTGTACGCGAAACACTACGAGTTGCAAGAAGAAAAACTCGCGTGGGAAGAAGAAAAAAGAAAAGAGGAAGAGGAGGAATTGGAGCTCGAGAAGACGATGACGGAGGAGGAAATCAAACTGAGAAGGAGAAAGAAACGAAGAGAGGAGATTTTACACCCGTGGGATAAGAAGAAAAAGAAGCGAAGAACGTTCGATTTCGCGAAAAAACTGTGCTACCAATCCGAACCGCCGAAATGCACTTTCGATACCGAGTTTAAAAAGAAAGCGTTTTTACAACTCGCCACGCACGAAGAAGAACAAAGGGCTAAGGAAACGCAAAACTTAGGATGGAGCGAAAGAGAGGGTGACATTGGAGGCATTCGGTACGAACCGACGACAATAAACCCCGCGAAGAAGAAGAAAAAGACGAAGAAGAAAGAAGAGTTGTAGTAACAAACACCAAATCGCGTAAATGCGTTTTCCTTTCCTTTTCGAGGAAGGAGAGCTTTTTTTTGGTTGAAGAAAAGGACGACGAGACGACGACGTAAAAGAGGACGGCACGACGATTACGACGTTGCAGTATTCAGGCGTTTGAATTCGTCGTCTGAATCGTCGCGTTTGTGTATTACGCATAGTTTAAAAAACCAGTACTAGTATAGATAGTGAGTCGCCTGCATAGCAGTATTTAGGGTAACATAAAAAACCCTAAACTTTTTTTTTGTGTATCGACATCCAAAAAAAAAAGGGCGCGTCCCTTCAAAGAAAAGAGCGCGCTTTCGTGCGCACTCTAACATCAATCAATCAAAACACCACCACGACATCATCAATAATGAGCGCATCATCAAAAGCAGCAGAGCGCGATCCTCTCCTCCCGTACGCCAGACAGTTCGGGTCCATACGCGAGAACGAAGACGAGAACGATGACGGGAAGAGATTCGAGCGAAGAGGCGCCTCATCGGACGACGTCGAAAACGGGAGAAAGAAGACGTTCTTCCTCTTCGACCACGGGGGGGCGCATTCATCTCGAGACGCGGGGTCGAGTAGGGCGAAAATACACGCTTCGTTTTTATACGTTTTACTGGCGTGCGTTTTGTTCTTCTCCGGCGCGATGGTTGGTTCCTCCTCCTCGCCGTTGTCAAAGATGATTTTGATGTCGAAGGAAGATGGTGTCGCTTCGGCAAAAGGACAACCGCGAAATCAACACCATCGGCTCGGGACGATGGCGACGATCGAAAACGCTCCCGGTCAGAAGACTTTATCATCAACGTTGATGAACAACAACAACAATAAGAACAAGAATAATAATAATAATAACAACAACAAGAACAAGAACAACGGCACTGCACAGTCTTCTGATGTGGAAGACTCGTCTTCGTCTTCGGAATCTTCGTCGGGAGGGCAGGAAGGCGCGAGCGAGGAGGACGCGTACCAGTCTCTGATGGAGATGTTTGGGATTTTCGGCGGCGCGGCGCCACCGACGAGAGAGGCGATCGAGGAACCGGAACCGAGCTTATCGGAGGAGAATCAAGATTTGTTGAAAGAAGAAGAGAATCACTATTCGAGGATTGGATCGGATTTGGGGTACTTCAGAGCGCCGTCGGTGAGGAACGATACTTTAGTGTTCGTTTCGGAAGGGTCAATTTGGCTTTCGCATCTGAGAGGAGGTCCAGCGGCGAGGATTTCGAGCAGTTATTCGTACGAATCGGTGCCAAAGCTCTCGCCCGACGGGAAACGAATCGCGTTTTTAGCGGAAGCTGCGGACGGGTTCGAAGTCTTTGAGCTCCCCATCGCCGGAGGCGTGGCGAGACAAGTCACGCACGGCGCGCAGGCGTACGGGTTGTCGCAATGGTCCGGCGACCACGAGCTTTTGATTTTAACGACGCAATTTTCCGATCTCGGAAATCCGCAGTTGGCGAAAGTCGACGCTTTAACCGGGAAGGTTTCGGTGTTGCCGTTTGAAAAAGCGCACGGAGGCTCGAAAGATCCCAAAGGATGCTACTTGTTTTATCCTTTGAGACAATCGTCCTCGACGAAACGGTACGAAGGTGGCGAACAGGCGAGAATTTGGAGATGGTGCGGTGAAGGTGCCGTCGGCGCGAACGGAACCGCTTGGTCAGAGGCGAAAGAGTTGACGCCAGAATCGTGGTCCATGCGAGGCGCGTGGTCGCCGCAAACCACGGACAAGCTCAGCGGCAAGGTATTTTTCATCAGCGACAAAACCGGCGTGGCCAACTTGTGGGTGATGAACGACGACGGCTCGAAAAAGACGCAACTGACGTTCGAGTGCGAGTTCGACGTGATGGAGTATGCCATCGACGGTACTCGCATCGTCATGCGCGTTGGCGCGGATTTGAAATCAGCGACGTTGAGCGCGGCTCAAATCGAAGGCGGCGTGATCATTTCCGAGGCGACGACGTTGAAGATTAATCTTTTATCCGAATTCCGCGAGGCGCAGCCCATGTTGCTTTCCGATCCGCTTTATGAAATGTCCGAACTCGCCATCTCAGACGATGGCATTTACGGCGCTTTTATCGTGAGAGGTCAGGTTTACTTTTCGCCGCTCGTCGCGCAACTCGGGACGAGAATCGAAAAAGTTACCCAGTACGAAGGCATGGTTCGATACAAGCACGTGCAGTTCATTCCAAACTCGCATCCAAGTGATCCAATTAAGTTACTCGCGTTGAGCGACGCCAGTGGTGAATACGACTACGTCGTTCTGGAAAGAGACGAGGACAACGGAGTCAGCTATTGGTCGGAAGCGCAAGTCACGCAAGACGGGGCCATTCAAGGAGGTTTGTCGTATTCGCAAATTTCTCCCGATGGCACCTCGCTCGCTTTCGATGATACCAACGGCCACGTCAAGTTGGTGAATTTCACCAACACCATCGTCAACACGGAGGAGTTCCGAACGCCAATTTCGCCGGAGGATGACCCCATCGGTGCCGGAGGACTCGGCGGCGCCGAGGACTTTTCTTCGGAAATGCCGCTGTTGTCGCGAATGCAGAACAGCGGCGCGGACGAGGAAGAGGTGCTCGACGCGGCGTCGATTTTGATCAAACGTCAACGCGTGTTGGATAAACGCACGAAGAAGATGCAAGCTGGTCGAAAGTTTGTCAAGGCGGACATGCGCGCGCCAAACTTTCGAGAGACGTCGTCGTCGTCGTCGTCGTCCTCTCCGAACGTGGCGTCGCTCGGTAACCCTCAGCAGCAGCAACAGAGTGCCAACGTAAACGCAAACAAGAAGAAGGTGAACAACAACAAGCCTTCCTCGTCCGCGAAACTCTCCGCGTCTGATAACAATCAAGCGAACGTCCGCAACATCGTCTCTGGTTTACAACCCGAATCCGCGGGAGAATACGCCTGGTCTCCAGACGGCACTTGGCTCGCCTACGTCTCTCTCTACCAAGACACTGACTTTGAAGTTATTTATGCTTGGAACACGAAGACGAACGAACGAGTGCGCATCACGCCGCCGTCCTCGAACTCGAGATCGCCGACGTTTTCCCCGGACGGTTTGTTCCTCTACTACTTCAACGACGCGCAGTTTTCCTCCGGGTCAAATTCACCGTACGGCTCCAGAGGGTCTGAACCGGTCTACGAAGACGGAGAAAGTTTGTACTGTTTGCCTTTGAGAGAAGGTTTGGCGTGTCCGTTCTTCTCCGGCGACGAGATGAATGCAGCGGGCACGGTGTTTGATCCTACTTTGGGGCAAAAATACCCGACGAAAATTTCGATGAAGAACATCGAAAAGAGATCCGAGGTGGTTCCTTTTGTCGATCGCGCGAGATACGAAAGCATGTACATCATCGGTAGCGGCGCTACGATTTTGTTAAACATGTACGATTCCATGGGAAGCTATCTCATCGCTGTCGACATCATGCAAGGCTACGTTACGCCAATTTATCCGGACGCTTACGACGTTTTGGTGTCTCGCGACTTGCAAGTTGTCGTTTTGTTCACAGAAGAAGGCGTCGCGCTCATGTCTGCGCAGACCATCGCGGAAACTCCGGATCAAGATGCGATTCTCGCTCAAGCCTTGTTGTGGTTACCGCCGGAGACATGGACGGTGAAACTCAACCCGAGAGAAGAGTGGATGCAAATGTACGACGAGGCCATGCGCACGATGCGAGACAACTTTTACGATCCGAACCTCCACGGTGTCGATTGGCCGGCTGTTACGGAACGGTATCGTCCGTTGGTAAAAAGATTGACCTCCAAGAATGAGTTACGAGACGTTCTCGAGCAAGCTTTGGGAGAATTGTCCGTCTTACACGTCTTTGTCGACGTCGAAGGCGGCGAGGCTTTTGAAAAAATTGGCATGGGACAGAGTTCGGCCTGCTTGGGCGCTAAATTTGAGCAAGTTCCTCAAGGTTTGCGCATTACGAAGATCTACGACACCTCCGAAGTGTTGATGGCCCCGAACTCACCTCTGTCGGCGATGGCTGTGGATTTGAGACCCGGCGATATCATCACTCGAATCGATGGCGTTTTGGTCAACGCTTTGTCCGATCCTCTCCCGAAACTTTTAATGGGTAAAGCGTATTCGCAAGTGCTCTTGGAAGTCATTCGCGGCCCGAGAACGAAGGAAGAGATGGCAGAGTTGGAAGAGTTGCAAGAAATGATTGAAAGCGTGCAACAATCGAGCTCGAGTTTGGGCGTCGCTCAATCAAACGCGCTCCGAAGGTCGTCCCTTTCGTCTTCTTCCATGGCATCAAAAAGGTCGCGCACAAGTACCGCCGCGGCTCCCAGTGGCGATGGTCAACAAAATAGCCCGAAAAGATCCGGCGAGCAATATTTCAACGGCGGGACTTTGAATGCGTTCAATCCGTTGACGGATATCGCACGATCGGCTTTGAAATCGAATCGATTGGGGTCGCACTCGTCGTCGGCGAAACCCTCCAAAGACGCGGACAGTAGCAAATCATCAGACGGCGCTTCTAAAAGTTCTTCCTCGGGTAAGATGGGCGAAGAAGAGGAGGAAGAACTAGTCATGCTCGACAGAGTCGTCGTCGTTCCTCTCGACGTCGGGACGTGCTCCGCGCTTCAAAAAGCGGACGCTTTGAACAGAAGAAAAGCGAAGGTTCGCCACGACTCTAACGACACCATCGGTTACGTCTATCTCGAAGACATGGTCCAAGAAGGACCGGAAACGCATTCCATGGATGACTTTGCCAGTCAATTTTATCCGAACTTGCGAAAAGGTGGCTTGATCATTGACGTGAGAAGAAACCATGGCGGGAACATCGATACGTGGGTGTTGGAACGCTTGAGAAGAGTGGCTTGGATGTTTGAGTCCCACCGCAGCGGCCCGGGAGAGACGACCATGCAATACTCTTTCCGCGGCAAAGTCGTCGTATTGATCGACGAAATGTCCTCTTCAGATGCGGAACTTTTTGCCGCTGGTTTCCAAACCATGAAGCTCGGTAAGGTGATTGGCGCCAGATCCTGGGGCGGCGCGGTCGGGTACTCTGGCAACCCGGAGTGCTCCTTAGTCGACGGCGGCTCGTTCACCATCCCTTCGTTTGGTCCGTACCTCGGTAACGAGTGGTTAATCGAGCAAAAAGGTGTCATCCCGGATATTCCAGTAGCAAACTTACCCATCGAATCCTTCCACGGCACCGACAAGCAACTCGACGCCGCCATCCGAGAAGTTTTGAAGGAAATCAAGGCGTCGCCGGATGTGAAAATTCCAGAGCACCCGCAGTTTCCCGTGAGAGCGTACGACAACGCGAAGTGTTTGGCGGATCAACAAGAGGAAGGAGCGAAGACCGAGTTGTAAGAACGGAGGAGGGCAGGTATTAGAAGAAGAAGAAGAAGAGAAAGCGAAACCGAAACCGAAACCGAGAAGGAGAGAGAGAGAGGGAGAAGAGAATATAGAAAAGAGAAATTAAACTGTTTTAGAGTGAGTGAGAGAGAGAGAGAGAGAGAGAGAGAGAGAGAGATGTGCGCGTAATGCGTTCACGCGCGTTGTAATTTACTTTTGGTACCATTTATTATTATTATTATTATTATTATTATTATTATATGCGCGTGAATAGAGTCTCCGCGTCGTCTTCTACTCCCGAGAAGCGAACACCCTTTCCTTTTTCATTTGCTGACTCACACGTGTTCTTTTCTCTCCAAAAAGCGTCAGAAAAAAACGCATAAAACTTTCTTAATGCGCTTGGTAATGTTGCCATCCTCTCCGTCGCTCGCGACTCCGAATTGGGGTGGTTCTCGTTGTCATTCGACGACGACGACGACGACGACCTTATTGTCGAGGACGAGGACGACGACGGGTAAGGCACCATCGTTCGTACGCCGCGGACGACGACGACGACGAAACGACAACCTTAACGGCTTTTTTGTCCTCCGATTCTCTTCTTGTTCTCGTTCTTTGAGGACGACGACGACGACGACGACGGGCGGCGGCTCGCTTCTTCTTTCTTCTCCGCGAGAAAGAGGAGGAGAACGCGAGCGACGAGCGATGAGGATGCGCGTCGTCCCGTCTTCTTCGTCGTCGTCGTCTTCTTCTTCTCGAAAAGGCGGCGATTCGGATGACGATGATTTTAACGAGAAGGTTGCCGAAGTGAGCGAAAATTTGACCACGAACGAAGAAGCGTTGCGAGCGAAGATTGGACAGTTGCAAGAACGCGTGAAAGCGTTGAGGAGGACTCAATCGACGCCAAGAAAAGAAAACTTTCCCGCGACCGCCACTGCCGCGGTTTCTGTCGCGGGCGCCGCGGCGATCGACGAGAGAAGAGGCGGCGCGGCGACGACGAGGAGCGGAGGCGACGAGAGGAGAGAAGGAGAGGGCCAAGGGGCGGATGTTGAAGGAGCAGTGGATGCGGATGGGACGGGTACTTTCTGGGAAGACATTTTACGAGCGTCCGTGAGTACGTTGGAGGATATATTCAGCGGCGCGTCGTCCTCTTCCTGGGACGAAGACGAAGACGACGTCGAAGAAGAAGAACGAGAGGAAACTTCGCTGACGGTTGGAATCGAGAAGGGTGCGGAGACCGTGGACGTGGACGGTGGAAAAAGGGAGAAGACGAGAAGAGATGGTAATAGTAGCGGTAGTAGTAACAGTGGTGATATTGAGGGCAGGAAAAAGAACCAGGACAGCAGGTGGGAATGGCAAAGACAGTTTGATACTCCGAATCAGTTCATGGGGCATTTCAAGAAAGCGCCGGCCGAGAAAGGAGAAGAGAAGAGGCTCACTACCACCGCGGCAAATAGTACTACTACAACTGACTCCACCACTCCAGTGATAACGACAACTACAACGACGACGACGACAAAAGAAGAAGAAGAAGAAGAAGATTCAACGAATGCTGGCTCAAACTGGATCCCAGACGCGAGCGCGTTTCTTTCGCGTCTTCCGCTTCCGCCTTTGATCGGAAATTTGTTTTCTGGATCATCTTCATCCTCGACTGCAACGGCGACTACTTTTGCTGCTAATGCTGCTGCTGATTTAAGCATAGCTGAGCAAAGTGAGGAAGTAAACGCAGAAGACGACGAACGAATAATCGATGAACAACTTCGCGACGCGAACGTAAACGCCGTCGCGGTTGCAAACAACGCCTTGCAAAAATTAACAGCCGCTATTCAAGAGATTGACTTACAAATCGATAGAGAATCGCCGCCACGCACGCCAAGATCACCATCATCACCACCACCACCATCAACAGCGCAAGAAGGCGGGGCTTTCATCACCGCCGAAAATCAAAGTGAAGAGGATACGTTCAACGATTTAAAGGAGGCGCTCTCCGAGGCGATTAAAAATGCAGACAAAGCAAAAGCAAAGCTTGGAGACGTCGAAGTAGCGGCAAATGACGTTTTGAAAGTGCGCGAACGCATCGAAACGTATCGTCAAAGCGCGACGTATAAGAAGAACGTTTCTTTGACATCTTCCGAAAATGGTAAACGCGGCTTGAGTGAAAGTCAGCCGGAAAATATTCAAGCTTTGCGTCAAGCGCTCGAAGCTGCCCAGGTCAAATTAAAAGAAGCTTCAGCTTCCTCGCGTAAACAAACTGTCGTTGTTGCCAGACAAGTTTTGGTATTGAGAGAACTTTTCGAGCCAGGAGCACAAAAGTCTGCAGAGAAGAGTAGTGAGAATGACGCCGATACCGATATTCAACGAGAACAACAACAAGAGGGACTGGTAGAAACGAAAAGAATCGACGAAGGTTTGTACAGTAAAATCAACTCGGCTCGTAAAGTAGCCGAAGATGCGATTGTTGCGTCGAATATTACCGAAACTTTAGCGAAACTAACGTCGTGGCCAGGCGCAAAACTTTCGCAAATTGTGACGAGGCAACTCGAAGAGATGGCGGCGATTGATGAAGACGCGGAAGATTTTGTCGGGTCAACAACATCAACCGGTGAAACCGACAGAAGCGATAACTTGGATAGCATTCTCCAGCCTGCTTTAAGAAACATGGTTTCCTCGTCCTTATATCGAGCGTCCGAAGAAGATACGAAGAATGCTAGGATTGCTTGTTCTCTTTCCTCTTGGATTTATAATTTTCCGGACCAAACGACAAAGGATGGTTTAACTCGAAACGGTTTGACCATGTTATGGAATTCGCACGAGCACGAAGAAGCTCTTTCGGAGGATGAAATTAGTGGCAACGACAGTCAACAACAACAACAACGACTCGTCCAAACCTCGAGTGTTGAGAATATCAACTTCACCGATGCCGAAGCCGCCGACTCGGAGATGAACAACGCAATTCTTTTAGAAAATTTGAAAAAGGAAAGACACAATCGAGAAGAATCGATTCGCTTAGCTTCTGCGGCGGCGGATGAAGCCATCAAAGCGTTGGCATCGGTGAAGAGAATGCGAGAATTAAAACCTGACGATCAAAACGCGGCCGAGGCTGCAAGAAAAGCCACGGAGCTCGCTAATTTGGTTTCTCAAGAGCTCACCAGAGTTTCGGAGTCTCAGAAAACGTTGAAGAAAGAACGCTCGGCGTTGTTACGCGAAAGCGAGAAAATAAGCGAGTTACAAAAACAAAGAGCAAAATCGAAAGCGTCTTCGGAAAACGGATTACAAAAGAAAAAGAAGAAGAATGGTAATAACAAAGAAGCCGGTGAGAATGCGGTGATGCCGGTGAACTATTGCGTGGGCGTAGACAAGGAAAACGCAACGTTATGGATTGTCGTCGAAGGATCGACCAACTTTGCCTCGTGGCAAACCAATTTAACTTGGACACCCACGACGTTTGAGGATAAAGAAATCAGAGTCCATCAAGGAGCGTACGCTTGCGCGCAAAGAATGTACGATCGCGTTGAAAAATTGTGTAAAGACCATTTGAAGACGTTTGGCTCTAAGAAGGCTCGGATAAAATTAACTGGTCATTCAATCGGTGGATCTCTGGCGTATTTGCTCGGTCTGATGCTCATTCTGAGAAATGGAGTTCCTCGATACGCGCTCGATGATATCTGGACGTTCGGGTCGCCGTACGTTTTCGATCGCGGTGCGGAAGATTTGATGCAAAGGATTGGGCTGCAGCGAGATTTCATTAAAGGCGTCATCATGGGCAAAGATATCGTACCTCGATCGTTTTCGTGCTATTATCCTCCGTGGACGCGTTCTATTTTGGGCTCGGCTCCCTGTCCTCGGCCGTTCAAATGCGTGAACATGCCTACGCTCTTAAACGAAGAAATGATGTACGCACCTTTGGGTGACATGTATCTTTTACAACCCGTACACGGTTCGGCGCATCCACTTTTACCAGAAGGACCGGGATTCTATAAGCTCCAAGGAGAAGAAATGTACGACATAATCGCCGCTAAAGCTCGCGAAAGTAGTTCGATATCGACGATGAGTCTAGATGCGAGTTTCGACGAAGAATCGCATTGGCTCGATGCGCAAAAAGACGAGCGTAAACTTGATTTTTACGCCGATGAAGTAGCTCAAACGCGAGGGTCAACAACAACTTCAACGACGAAGACTCTGTCTGAGAATTTAAACAAGATTGCGTGCTTAACGCAAGCGGATGCAGCATTAACGGCGTCCTTGATCATTTCCCAGATTGATAGAGAGCTCTTGACCAAAGCGAAAGAAGGCGTCGGCGGTGATCTATCGGTGATAATGCGAGAACAAACTCGAGATGCGGCGCAGAGAGTGATACTCAACACGCCACATCCACTCACAGTTTTGTCGGATCCGAGAAGTTACGGTTCGCAAGGTTCAATCAGTCGTCACCATAATCCGTACTCATATCAAAAAGCTTTGTCCAGAGCTGCGAAAGCTTCGGCGGGAGAAAATAAAGAATATTCATAAACACGCGAACAGTAGCAGTGAGCTTGTAAAATAAAATTTGTATGTACAACAGATAATGATAGTATATTTACGCGGCTTTCGCGAAGCCGACTCTGGACCCGCCGTGATCAAATACCGTGTGATACGGTCCCAAAAACACGTCACCTAGAATCCACAGAGGACCCATTGGTTTAGGAACATCTAAACCCATGAAACCGCTAATGCACGTGTTTGAGCCTTGTCCATCATCAATCTCTAAGACGTACTGTTTCGGCGTCAATTCGAAAGATTTACCGGCAATTGTAAACGAAATATTTGGCATTTCAACGATGGCGTTGCAATCGACTCCGGCTTGTCCACCCGGCTGCGCCGGGACAAAGTCACAAACCTTCTCGAGTTCATTCAAAACAACCGTACGAGTCACGTTCGCTTGCAATAACTCCTTCGCGTAATCCACGGCCATTTCACACGCCGAGCACGCAACTTTACTCTTTTTCGTTTCTTTTTCCTCATTCTTCTTTGACGGTTTGAAAAGATCGCCCAAAAGCGAGAGACCCCCGCGAAGACCGCGATGTTTCTTTTCCTCTCTCGTCGTCATCAATAATTTTCGAGACGTAGCCAACACCCCGGTTGGCTCACTTATTTCTTTTTCAATCGCATTTGTTTCAGCGGCAGCTGGACAGATGTTCAAACTCTCGCAGATTTGACTCGAATCGTACGTTTCGATGTCGTCCAAAAATTCTTCGCCGTAACGTTTAATGGCAATCTTACACTCTTGAATCATCAAGTTTTCGGCGCCGATTGCGTCGTTAATTTTATCGATGACGGCGGAAGGTCCGGCGAGCAACGATGTTCCTGTATCTGCAATCGCTTGATGCTTAGTAGAGGAGGAGAACGACACCGTCGTCTTGTCGTTTTTGTCGTCGATGAATGAAAACTCACCAACTTTCACGTCATCCAAATCGAATTGCCAGTAGCCTTTCTTCGTCAAATCCACCCAGACGTGCTCGCCGACGAAGTGCTTCTCGTCGACGCCACCAAAGACGAGTTCACCACCATCAACCACACCGTCTCCGTCTTGATCTCTGTTTAACCAAAACGAAAACTGATCTTTCTCGACTTGATTTTGCGCGACGGCGTTATCAAACACCGGCGTGACCCCGTCGACGGCGATTTCCTTAAATCCCAATCCTAAGATCCCGTCAAACTTAGCGAAAAGGAACGTCAATCCCGGCTCTTTCGTCGCTTCCGCAAACGTCTGATCTTTAATTTCAATCGAATTTCCCAAACGCACCGTATCCGAGCTCAAGAACCCGCTCAACGACCCAGATCCGTATTGAATTGCAAAATCCTCACCGTTCGGCTCGTACGACCTGCTCTTCTCGCTGTCGTACTTTTCGTGCGCGTCGCAGGGAATTTGAGAAAACTTGCACTTTGACGACGGCACCCACAAATTCGAGCTCCCGGTATCGAAACACACCTGAAATTTCTGCCCTGGCGTTCCGATTTCCACCGGACCGTAATATTGCGCGTCCATGTAATTCGCGATGGGCACCGACGACGTCGCTCCTCCTTCTCCTCCGATCGCCGCGTCTTCAGACGATTCCATCTTCTTGTCCTCCATTAAACTCGTTTCGGCGTTTCTCGTGTACTTCTCCACCATTTGCTTCTTCTTCATCTCCGCGTGTTTCGCGCGCAGCTTGGACGCTTTCATCTTCGTTTGCCAGTTTTCGCTCATCGCTTCCTTGTCCTCGTTTGCTTTCATCAAAGGCACCTTTTTTTGCAAGGACACGCGGTGAAGAACTCCTTGGACGTTATTACTCTTATTACGTTGATGATGATACCGAAGACCACCAAAACCATCATAAAACAGCATCAGCATCGCTCCTCCTACTAAAGCGAGCGTTATCGTCAACGAACGAGGACGTGCGCGACGTTTGTCTTCTTCTTCTTCTTCTTCTTCTTTAGGGAACATGATGAGGAATTCTTCTTCACCGCACAAAATTCGTGACGAAGATGATGATGATGACGATGATGCTTTTGGTATGTAAAAGATGAAAGAAGACCAACGAAGTGTAGTAAAACGAACACTTTTAGAAGACAAAACCAAACGAAGTCGAAAAACGAATTCTCTTCTTCTTCTTCTTACGGTACACGTCTTCTTCCTTTATTATTATTAGTATTATTAAACAATATATGAGCGAGAAATTATGAAATTATGATTGCATTTTGTGAATTTTGGGCAAATTTATTATTATTATTTAAACTACTGTGGTACTACTCTGACTAGGTAAATTACAACTCAACTAGGACTCCCAATCTTGAATATTCTAACAGAACACGCCGTCGCACAAGCTTTACGTCCTCTCCTTCTCCTCCGTTTCCAAATCTCATCGCATGAGAGTACTCCGAATAGCGACCACCACGGTGCTCCCGGTTTAAAATTTCTGCTCGAGTATTCCAATCGTCGTCCCATGAGCATGCTTCGAATAGCTGATACTTTACAACACCCGTAAGTGGTTCAAGTTACTACTCGCGTTCGCTCCTAGGCAGCGCCGCGCAAATTAAACGTTTAATTATTATTGGTCGATGTTATTGTTTTCGACATCTCCTTCTTCCAAGACATTGACATTTTCTTCTTCTTCTTCTTCTTCTTGTTGCTGTTGCTCTTTGCGCTGGTATTTGCGTCTCCGCGGTTTCTTCGATTCCCGGAGAGGGATATCTTTGAACTCACCGTTCGGTTTAAACAGTCTGACACTTCTTTGGTACTACTCTAAAATACTAAATTTTACCTCTTTCTCCTCTTTGTCTTTCTTTCGAAAACGACGTCGGTACGCGCGACGAATTTACAAGAAGAAGAAGAAGAAGAAGAAGAGTCCCCGTCGTCGTCGTGTTTTGAGGAAGAAAACAGTCTCGAGCCTTCGTGAACGGGAGAGTTCTTCGCGTTTCCGTGAGGGAAGCACAAGACCGCGCCGACTCGCGGCGCGACGGCGTTACCGACGATGACTTTTTTCTTCTGTTCTTCTTCGTTAGTATGATCGTCATCATCGACGGAATAGAACGTCGTCTCGCCACCTCGAAAGCTATCGGTCAAGTAGATGAGAAACGTGAGGCGCGTCGTCCGCTGGTTTTCTTTATTATTAGTGTTGTTACCGTCGAGGAGCGCGTTCGCGTCGACGATGAATTCGTTGGTTTGTTCGTCGAGCATACCGCACGGCCAAGCGCCGTCGAGATGTCTGCGATAGACGCTCTTATCGTCGTATTTGAATATTCGAAACCGCGGGTTTATGCCGACAGGAAGCCAATAATGGTGGACAGAATTATCGTCGTCGTCCTCGTCGTCGTCGTCTTCGAACGCATCTTCTTCGTCGGCGTGGAAATGGTCGCGAATTCGTTGCCAAATATTTTCTACGACAGCATTATACACGCATATTTCGCAATACTCCATCGACTCTTGGTCGTTCTCGTCGTCTTTAACGAGTCCACACGCCAAAGCGCTTCGAACGAATAACTCACACTCTGCTTTCGCGAAAACAGACGTCAACGCGAATATCCCGGGTCCAACCGTTTGACTCAAATCGACGCGATTTACTCTCGGCGCTCGAAAGCCTGCCGGCGCGAGTACCAAAGCGTTTGGAGAGACTGGTCGAAAGAGTTTCAACGGTAAACGATTTGCCGGTCGCCGTCGACCGTCGTCCTCGCAACAAACGATGAAGCGTAAGCTATTATTGTTGTTACGCAAAGCGGCGGCGTGTATTTTTTCCTCTTCCTCTTCCTCTTCCGAACGCGCGGGTAACTCAACTCTGTTTCTAATTTCCACGCGAACTCTTTCGCGACGAGGAGAAGCATCATCATCGCTCACCATCCACGCACGAATCATTTCTCGTTTTTTCATCTCGAGACTAGGCGCGAGTCTTCCCGCGCTCTTCTTCCTCGTTTTTTTCTCCTCGTCGTCTTCGTCGTCGCTGCTTTTGCGAATTAATTTCAATACCCGCCACAAAAGCTCGTCCTCTTTCTCCTCTTCGCCGACGACGACCATGTGACCACCACCGATGCCGTTGAAACTCTTCCTCGCGAACGAACACCCTCGCACTAAATTCTCCCTACCAATCTTCTCGATCGTCTTCTCGACGCCGCTCACGTTCTCGCCCTTTCCGCTCTTTCCGCTCTCGTCAACGACGTCCTCCTCCCCGTCCTCGTTATTCTCAATCAGGAGTAACTCTGCGGCTGCGTTTGCATCTCCCGCCGCGCAAAACGTAAAATACGCGCATCGCAAAGACGCGTTCGTCAAACGAAGAAGTTGATGAGTCGTCGTCGTCGTCGCAGTAAACACTCGTCGACGACGACGCCCTTCAACATTTTTGGTGTTCAACTGCTTGACTTTTCCCAGGACTTTCTTCACCGCTTTCGCGTTCGCGCGGAGTTGACACAACGCGAGCACTCTCTCCAACAGTTGAGAGAGATTGCGAAAAGAAAAGAGTTGTTCCTCCGAGGAGAACAAACACACTTTGTCGCAGTCTGAATCGTCCCCTGTGTGATCGTCTGAGATCAAAAGCAAGTCGTCCAAGACGTGCAAAAACGCTTTCACCGAGGAGGTCAGATTTCCCGCTCGCAACGCGACGTCGCACACGCGCTTCTGTTTGTTCGTTTCGACGACAGAAGAGGAGAGAAACGACGACGCGTCGTTTTTGTTTACTTTTGCGCGACGAGCGAGCGAGGTGTTTATCTCCTTTGTCTTTGTCTTCTTCTTCTTCTTCTTTGACATGATGATGAGGATGCAAAAGCCGTTGAAGACGAGCGTGTGCGTGTTCTGAAGCGCGAGCGTTATGCGTGTTCATGTTTATAAATCATAATGAAGGCAAAGGTATTACTCTGTGCGATGCAAAATTAGTATTAAGTAGTGCGTGTTTTACTAAACTCTCTCTCTAACTCTCTTTTGTCTCTCTCATTTCGCGCGATGACGTTATTCTTCTTCTCAACTAAACGTACGCTCTCTCGTTTTCTCGCTCTCGACTACTTCGCGGCGGCGGCTCGAACGTTGAAGACGAAGGCGTCGCACTTTTCTTTCGACTTTACGACGCCGCTCTCGTCGCAGACGCCCGAGGCGACGTCCACACCGTTCGGACGTAACACCATGACCGCTTCGGAGCAGTTTTCCGGCGTCAATCCACCGGCTAAAATCCATCCTTTCCTGGAACATCCTTTGGGAACTTTTAAGTTTTCCCACTCGAATTTCTCCCCAGATCCGGCGTTGACGCCGTCGATTAACACGTAATCTACCGTTTTCCTCGGTCCATTTACCCAATCAATCGGTGCTTTCCACCCTTTCTCCCCGGATAACATTTCTTTCCTTCTCGAGGCTAACTCCTCTTCGCTCTCCCCCGGCATTTCCGTCACGATTTTCCCGCTCTCGTCCGCCGAGCACACCCAAATAACTTTGATCTTTTGCGGAATATCCTTCAGAGATTGTCTGGCCAAATCGCCGTGTAACTGCGCGTGCGTGTTATATCCAAGCTCTTCGCATATCTTCGCTATCGTCGCTCCGTCTTCGTCCACGAACACCGCGACTGGCGTTATCACTCTTTCTTTACTCTTTTCGCACTCCTTTACGATCTTTTTCGCTCGTTCGATATCGACCGACCTTTTACTCTTGGGCCATAAGATCATCCCAACGTGTGAGGCGCCGCTGTCGATGGCGACGCGACAATCTTCCGCGGTGGTGATGCCGCAAATTTTCACCACTTTAGGTACATCGAAATTCATCGCATTCTTCTTAGTAGGGGTATTCGTTTTTCGCTCTTCTTGTTCTTGTTGTTCTGATGATGATGATGATGTTGCGCGAGGAGGATCGAAAGAAGATATCTTCTTCTTCGTTCTTTCTCTTCTTCCTCCTCCTCTCGTTGCTTCCAAACGACGACAACTTTTCGAAGAAGAGAACAACGCATTATTATTCAAAGTGGTTTTTGAAGGCTTGCTCTTCGTGGTAGTAGTACGACGACGTGTAGTATTCGTGGTGGTGGTGGTCGAAACCATTTTCATCATCATCATCATCCTCGTCGATGATGCAATCGTCGTCGCCGTCATCTCTTCTCTCTTTTTGCTTCTTTCGTCTGATGAGAGAGGAAAGAGAAATTTTTTTGTGAAGAAGAGCGTTTTTCACGTGTGCGTTTTGTTGTTTTTTTTTTCGCAGAGAGACGACAGACAGACGGACGAAAGAGAACGAGAGAAAAAGAGATTCCAACAACAACAACAACAACAACCCAGAAGGAGAAGAAGAAGAAGAAGAAGATGACGACGACGACGAGAACAACAACAACATCAATGTTGTTCTCGCTGACACGCTCAACGGTCTCTTCCGTGATGACACTCCTCGCAGCGGGTTTGACCGTGACGTTCTCCCAAGCGATGTTTTTGCACTACAGTTACGAACCCATCGAAGAAGAGCCGACGAGAGGGACGTCGTTTAAAGGACTGGCGAGATGTGGATTCGTCGAAGAAGACGAAGAAGTGAAAGAAGAAGAGGAACAGAATGAGAGTACTTTTGTTTCTGCGACAAAGATGATGCTTTCGAGGACAAAAAGGACGACGACGACGACAAAAGAAAGAAGAGGTAAAAGTAAGGAGAGGAAACGCGTGGTGATTGTGGGCGATTCGCTCGCCACCGGCGTGGGTTGCACGACGAATACGCCGGCGCTGGCGAGAATCGTCGCGGAGCGATTGGCGGAGCTTTTATCGGTGGAGATCGAATGGATTGCGGTTGGAAAGAAAGGCGCAGCGTTGAGCGATATTTCGTCGTGCGTGCTTCCCGAGCTCAGAGAGAGTAACAACAGTAGAAGAAGCGTTAGTAACAGTAACGATAGCGGCGGTAGCAGCAGAAGTAGGAGTAGTAATAGCAGTGGTCATGATTCAGTCGAAAACGAGGTGGAGGAGAAGGAGGAGGATGAAAACGCACAGAACGAGTTTTTTCTCCAACAACAACAATTTCAACAACAACAACAACAACAACAACAAGCGTCGTCGTCGTGTGCGAGGAAAGCGGACGCGGTGATAATTCTGTGCGGGATTAATGACGTGAAAACGTGCTTTCTTCACGGAAAAATCTTTTTTCGGGAGAATTTCGAGAACGAGTTGGAAAATGTGATCAAAGAAATCAAGAACGTCGTCGGGAGCGACGCGCTCGTCGTGTTGCCGGGGAATCCCTTGCACATCGCGCCTTTATTTCCGAATCCACTTCGCGAAGTTATTTTGAAACTGAACGACTGTTGGGACGACAAAAAAGAAAAAGTCGCGAATAAGCTAGGGAAACGTAAAGCTTTGTTTATCAATTCTCCCACGCTACAAGCGCTGAGAGATGCCGTCCGAATGCATGGGGGGGATAGCGGTGATGGTATTCGAGAAGGCGAGTTTACCGCGAGAGACGGCGTGCATCCAAACGATATGGGCTACAAGGCGTGGGCAAACATCATCGCCGCGGAAGTAGCCAAGGTATTAAAGGATAACGAAGTACAATGATCTCTTCCTTTTCCTCTCGAGCGTGTTGTTTAATACATATTTTTGTTTAATGTTAGTAGCACATATGTAGTACGACTTCCAAAAGCACGCTTTCTTTTTAACTAGTTTTATGGGATGATGACTTTAAAAGCTATTATTATTTAATATTTTAGTTCGTCAACGGCGGGATGACTCCTTCGTTGGAATCAAAAACGGCCGGGATGAATTTTATTCCGAGTTTTTCCATGATGAGCGCGTTTTCCGGGTTGGAGTTTGATATTCGCAAAGTCTTCCCGAGAGCGAGATACCTATCGCACAAGGAGTTCATAGCTGCTAAGCCGGAGTAGTCGCACACTCTGCAATTATCGATGTTTAGGACGATATCGTTTGGATCGACGCGAAGCGCAAACTCGTTTTTAAACGCGCGATCCGTTCCAAAGAATAATTCCCCGGAGCATCGATACACCGCTCTCTCCGTTCCATCGCTTAAAGTTTCAGTTGTACGTACTACATCGAGCGCATTGAATGAATTATCCCACGCGTACAATAGTGCCGCGAAAACTACCCCGGTACCAGTCGCGATGGCTAAGTTTGTGCGCTCCGTCAAGATCGTTACCAACAATATTAAAAACGTGTCTTGCAAACGCACGCGATCGGTCGTATCCGCGAAACATTTACGACGGCGACGACCGGCGTAATCCACCCTGTACGAGTTGTTCTTTGCCGATTGCTCGTCATTTCCCGTGGTTTCTTGCTGCGCGTCTTCTCCTTCTCTTCTACCTGGAATATAAAGAGATCGAACGTTTCCCGTCATGAGGGATAAGCAACTCCAATCAAAGGTGTAAATAACAACCATGAACAACACACCCGTGAGCGCGGCGACGGGGACTAACTCGATAACTTTTGAAGCCGCAACTACGAATATTAAAAACATGGTCGCCGCAAAAGCGGTCGATAATCTTCCGATTCCTCCTGATTTCACGTTAATTGTACTTTGGCCAATCATCGCGTCCCCGCCCATAGACTTGAACATTCCACTCAAGAGATTTGCGACGCCCTGCGCGACGCACTCTTGCGTGCATCTACCAGTCGCATCAGACGTATCCTCCAAGATTTCATCCACGAGCTGTAAGGTTAATACAGATTCAATCAACCCGACCGCCGCCAAGGAAAATATCAACGGAGCGATAATTCCAAACGACTCCGTCGTTAAATCCACATCCGGAGTGTGGTACGTCGGAAACGCTCCTTTTACCGGAGATAAATCTACTACGGTGGGTGTGTCTGCTCCTATGGCCGTTCTGTTTATAGCGTGCTCGAAAATCAAGCACGAAAGAATAGATACGAGTGAACTTGGGACCATTTTGGTCAAGCGCGGTAAATAATGGACGATTAACATAGACCCAAACACGTACAGCAGCATAATCCACGTCGATGCTTCAGATGCACTTCTCCACGTTTTCTGTTCCTCGTAACCAGTGTGAATGAGAAAATCTTTGTCTGACTTGAATTCACTCAAAGAAATCGTCGATGAGTTATCCGCGTCTGCTTCGCTCAGAATCGCGCCGACGTAAGTGTTCAACTGATCCGCAGATAAATCCGGCAACTCTTCGGCAAAGACGCGCGTAATGTCCGCGGATGAAATTTCCCCTGCTCCGGTCGAATCAAACACTTTGAATCCTTTTTTCCAGTCCACTTCTTGAAAAGACTCCAGCTGCGCTTTGAAAATTATAATCGCCAAACCGTTTACGAAACCGGTCATGACCGTGTTGGGAATGAGACGCACCAAGCGACCGGCTTGAATGAGACCGAGAACTATTTGCAAAATGCCGCACAGAATCATGACCATAAACAGATATTCCACGCGTTTATCGTACGCTTGATCTCTTAACGATTTGCACGAATCTGTAATCTCCGTGCATCCCGCAATTTCCCCTAAAGAGACAAGTTTCTCCACCGGCAATAAGCCGTTCGGTTCCATGATTTGGACGGCGACAACCGCCATCGCGCCCGCCGCCCCAGAAACCATTCCTGGACGCCCCCCGATGAGAGCGGTGATTATTCCTAGAAAAAACGTTGCGTATAATCCAACTAACGGATCTACTTTCGCCACGAAACTAAACGCCACCGATTCTGGCACCTGCGCTATCGACACCGTCAAACCAGACAAGATTTCATTTTTCAATCGTAACTTGTTCTTTTTGTAAAAGTTGAAAGATTCCTTCGCGTACGCGAGGCCGCACAACGGCGTGTCCGAGAACCCGTGATTCGCGTGAAAGCGCTGCATGAAGTTCATCTCCTCCGAACTTTTTTGGTTCTCGTCTCTTTCTTCCCGTCGTTCCTCTCGTTTTGTCTCAGTGGCGGCCATTCTTTATCCTTTAAACTCTTTTGAGTATATCTAAAAGAGAAGAGAGAAGAGCTTTTGGGAGAGATGAGAGAGTCGAGTTGAGTGCGAATAGAAGACTACGTGCGATTCTCTCGATGTATTCTTCTCTGTTATATATATCTCGTTTGTTTGTTTTCTTTTTGCCCTTCACGCGCTTCTTCTTCTTCGCGAGTGATTATGTGAACGTAAATTATCTCAATAAGTTGTTGTGTGAGTGAAAAAGTGCAGCATGGACACAAAAACGAATACTAATACTACGAGTTGGTTCGTTATCGTTCTTTTTTCTAAAATGTTTTAGTACTCCTTGCATTACAAATCAATCAATCAATCTCTCTCTCTCTCTCTCAGAACACAAAACCAAAACCTCTCTACTTCTTCGCTCTCGCGACGCGTCCAGCTTTGTGCACGGCCGAAACTCTCGCTAACGCCTTCTTTCGTAAATCCGAGCGATTCGCGCACGCGGCGTCCACCGCCTTGGCTTGGTTTCGAAAGATGCCTTTGTTGTTCGCGCCGTTCAAGGTGGAGGACGGCGTCTTCGCGCCGGCCAATTCTTGGATGTCCACCGTGTTGTTCATGTTGGCGATGCCTGTTGTTGTTGTTGTTTAATAATAATAATAATAGTGTGTGTTGCGTAATAAAAGAAAGGAAAGTGTTTGGTCAGTTTCTCGTTTCGATCGTTTCTTTTTTGTTGGTTCTTCTTTTTTGTTTGTTTTGTTTGAGTCAAAAATTTCCTTCTCTTTTCTTTGTTTTTTTTGCTCTTCTCTTCGAGACAAACTCTTTTCAGCCAGCGCGCACCAGCACCAAAGAAATCCATAAATTCATTTTTCTAGGGCTTTTCCGAGACCTTGAACAGCCTAAACCGGTCTCGTTTTGTCTCTCACTCCCTCTCTCTTCCAGGAAGGAAGGAGGAGCGCATTCACAACATCATTGACACCGTCACCCCCTCTCCCTTCTCTTTTTTCTCATCAATTTTGACGACTCCAATAAGAAAGTGTTTCGCGACTCTTCACCCTCTCTCTCTCTCTCTCTTTCTCTCTCTCTCTTTCTCCTCTTCCTCCTCCTTCTTTCGTCGTCGTCATCGCAATAATAAAAAAGAGAAGAATTGAAGAAGAAAAGACGATTCGCGAGGAAAAAATTCTCTCTTCGAAGTAGTCGAGTTAAGTTTTACCTGAGCTGCTAAATCCGTGCTTCGCGGTCACGTTGCCTTTCTCCGCGGACATGCGCGTTCGGTTCACGGACGCGCGGACGTACGCGTTGTTCTTCTTCACGCACTGCCATACGAGCTCCGAGGAGCACTCCACGTGTGCTTTCACCATGATGATTTTGTGTTTTCGTGTAAAAATGAGGTCTTTTGTTTGTGTTTGTAGGAGACGATTGAATTGTAGTCCAAGAAGGAGGGGAGCGTGAGAGAGAAAAGAGAGAGAAAAAAGAACTGAAGAAGAGAGAGAACAAAAAAGGAAAAAATCAAAGACAAAAAAAAAACGACAAAAAATTATCCAAACAACAACACACTTTTGTTGTTGTTGTTGTTGTTGTTGTTGTTGTTGTTGAAGAGAACACAACAACGCGAGAGTATTCTTCTTCTCGTTCGTAAGAGAAGAAGAAGAGTTGACTTGTATTACCGAGCGTATTGATACCTGGTTTTGAGAGAAGAAGTTGTTTTGAACGAACGAGAAACAAAGAGAATTACACACGCAGAGATAAAAGAAGAAGAAAGAGAAGAGAATTATACTAAGAGAAGAAGAAGAAAAGAAAATGTCTGAATTCACGCCTCCGTCGTATTCCGGCGACCCGAACTCGGCGCGATGCGAGCAAGAGTGCTTCACGCTCGGGTTTATTAGTTTAAACGCGGCAGTTTTGATGAAATGTCTGGGAGGCTCGCGATTACTTTTAGACGCCAGACCTAGAATGAACGGAGACTTAGCCTTGGCCATGGCGGAAGAAGCGGACAATAAGAAACGAAGAAAGAAAGGGTTACCGGAAATCAACCGACGAGAGAAGTTAGGGGCGACCCAGTTTATGTGGCAACAGAGATGGCAAGAGTATTATCGCGCGAGAAACGGAATCTGATGAAAATGAAATCGAAAATGACAGGAACGACGAGAAGAGGAGGAGGAAGAAGAAGAAGAAGAGTGCGCGCGAGATGCGTCGAAGAAAGTTGTTCATCAAGTAATATCATCGCGTAATAATTATATTATAAACACCAATTATTAATTATTAAGCCTCCCGTATTAAAAAGGTTCCTCTCTTTATCTCTCTCTCGTCATCGTCATCGTCGTCGTTCTATATTATTATTATTATTCGCGAATCCAACCGTTGTTCGTCATTTGCCAGTCCACGACGCCGTTCCCGTCCGCAAACCATAAGTTGATTTCTCTCTCGGCGGAATCGACCGAGTCGGAACCGTGGATAATATTTCTGCCAACCTCGACGGCGTAGTCGCCGCGGATAGACCCAGGCAAAGACTCTAAAGGATTCGTTTCTCCAATCATCTTTCTCGCGGCGGCTACGGTACCAGTCGGGCCTTGCCAAATCATGCACACGACCGGCCCGGAAATGATATAATCGACGAGATCTTTGAAAAACGGTTTCGAAGACAAGTCGCGATAGTGCTCCTCCGCAATCGCTCGCGTGCACTGAAACGTCTTCAAACCTTTCAACTGCATGCCTTTATTCTCGAAGCGTTCGACGATTGCTCCAACTTTTCCTCTTTGCACACCATCCGGCCTAAAGTTTTATAATAATACGTATTTATCGTTAAAGAGAGTTGTTGTTGTTCTGAAGTCAGTTTTTTTTTAACAAGAAGAAGTGGATAAAAAAAACCTCCTGAGGTTTTGTTGCGAAGAAAGAGTTTGACGAAGTCAAGAAGAAGTCAAGAAGAAGTCAAGAAGAAAGGCGAAAGACAACGACGACGACGTAAACGACGACGCACTTGATCATGATGTACGTGCGCTCGTCCGGGAATCGTCCCGCGACGACCACCCCTCGACCAGTTTTTGCGTCCTCATTAGGAAGACTTCGACGACGACGATGACCTCTTCTTGGTTGTTGACGTCCACCCCCTTTCGACGACGAGCTTTTGGAAAGAAGGGAAGAAGAAGAAGAAGAAGAAAAAGAAACGGAAGCTCGGGAGGTGAGAAAGCGTGGTCGTTGTTGTTGTTGCTGTTTCCAAGGCGTCGTCTGGGCGCGCGTGGCAGTCGTCGTCATCATATCTCTCTATATACTCTCTATACTACGCAAAAACGAATTCGTTCTCGTGTCTTTTTTTGGTGTGTTTTTGGTGAACTTTTTTTGGCGCGAGATTTTTTTTTTCTCTTTTTTTTGTACTTTTTTCGTCAAAAACACAACAAACACGTTCGATTTTAGACAGACACACACTACAAAACAACGCTCGGCCGAAGTTGTGCGTGTGTGTCTGCGCGTGTCTGTGGTGTGATTGTCGTTTAAAAGGAACAATTTAACACACAATTAATATCATCGCGCGGACACACGCGCGCGAGACGTGCCGGAACTCAGAGAGAGAAAAAGTAATACTTTTGTTGTGCGTAAAAGAAGAGAAAAATGAAAGATAAATTGGCGAAGCAACTTACTACAGCCGCAATGACGACAAAGATGACGACGGAGAAGAAGGGGGAAAACAAAGCGGGGGCCGCCTCCACACCACCATCACCACCACCACCACCTGTGGCGGTGGTAATAAAAGGTGGGAAAAACGCAACGACTTCGCTTTCTCCGACCGGGACGTTGCGAGGGTACTGGCAAGCCGAAGAAGAGACGGCGTTACGCGCCGCCGTACAAAAGCACGGCATCGGCGCGTGGGAGAAGATGAGAACAGATCCTGATTTCAAAGCGTTGAGGTGCGCACGATACGTATTTTATCGCGACGAGAGACGTGCTACTGCTTTTCTTCGCGTTTCTTTTAAGCTTTACTCGTCGTTTTCGTTATCGTTTTCTCGTTTTCTCGTGTTGTTCTTTGCGCGGTGATGATGATGAGAGAGACACAGACAAGGCAAATTCGCGACGAGGAGGGGGGCGGCGACAAAAAAACTTTCTTCTTCGATGAAATTTCCTCCAAATGTATTGGGAGCATTTTTTTCCAAACGACAACAAAGTTTCTTCTTTGTCTTCTTCTTCTTCTTCTCGTTTGAGCAAAAAAAAGAAGAAGAAGAAGAAAGTTGTCGTTGTTGTTGTTGTGTTTTCGAATGTGGGAGTTTTTGATGGTTGGGCGACCTGGTCGTCGTCGTCGTCAAAGTCGAATCATCGAGCGTGGCGTCAAATCTCTCTCAAAAAACAACATTTAAAATTAACGCGGGTCTTTCTTCCTTCACGTTTCCAAAATTCCAGGGGAAGAACCGGAGTGCAGCTGAAAGATAAATGGAGAAATCTGATCAAGTTTCAACACTTGCGACGAGGAGAGATTGAATCGGCGCCGTATAAAGCGACGGTTCGCGCGAAGCAAAATGCAGCCGCGGCGGCGAAAGGAAATGTTGATACCACGAAGGCACCAAAGAGTGGTGGAGCGAGCGGGAAAACAGCGAGCGCTAGTAAGAAACGAAACGCGGCTGATCAAGGTGGTAACATCGCGAAGAAGAAAGGGAAGACCAACGCTTCCGGCTTCAAGAAAGGAACAAATAGCAGCGACTTGATGGATACGTTTCAAAAAGGTCCAAAAGGGAAAAGGAGTAAACTAACAAAAGGAGGGAGATTTGGCAAAGGCGCGGATGGCGCCGATGCGAGGAATATTATCGATGCTAACACGAATCTCGATCATTTGAGTAACGGAGGCGAAGGTATCGGTCGATCAATCTCGCCGGCGTTGCCGCCAAAGAAACAAGCTTTCAAGCAACAAAAGAAGAAAATGAAGCTTTTAGCGGAAGCGCGAAAGAAAGCGGGAACTCCAGATGCGAAAGCGAGAGCGTTGCACGCGCCATCGAACGCTCCACCAAGAAAGCGGGTCGCCGCCGCGTGGGCCGCCGGTATATCCGACGTCAATCAAATAGGGAGCGGAGGACTTTTGAACTCGAACATCAATAGTTTAGATGAAGATGAACAAGATATTGTAGGAGCACATTTAGGACACGTGACGTTTGATATCGATGAAGATGAAGATGCGCATCACTTAGCTACCACTTCTGGAAGAGGTCAGAATAACAAGGATGGCGGCGCTGCTTCTTCAGCGAGCATGGCTCGATTTACAGAGGAGATGGAAAGGGAAATCGAGCAGACGAAGGAGCGCAGAGCGCAAATGGTTAGAGACGTGGAGTATTCCGAGAGAGAATTGGCTCGATTAAAGTCGCTCGTCGAGGAAGCAGAAAAAGTGTATTCGGAAGCTCGCCTGAAAGCACAGGAGACGCTTCAACAGGCGCAGAAAGAAATTGCTGAAAAGCGTAGAAAACAATCCATGGAGTCTTTGGAAGAGCAGAAAAAAGCAGCGGCATCCGATGGCGAATTATTAGAAGAAGAAGAAAAGAAAGCTAACAGCAACAGCGACAACAACAACAAGAATGACAAAAAGAGCGACGATGACGATAACGATGGAAAAGATGGTCATAAATCGAAGGGGGCTACAACGAGGAAATCACTCGAGGCGTCAAAGCAACCCAAATCCGCGACGACCGAAAATATAAAGGTTGACGATGATGAGGACGAGCCATCGAACGAAGACGTGAGTCCAAAGTCTGTTCCAAATTTGAACGATGTTGAAGATGTCGAAGTTGACGATGCCGAGTGGGACAAGTACTTGGCGTTTGGAGGAGATAACGCTAATGAAGAAGACGACGAAGACATGTCCGAGATGCAACGGGCTGCGCAGATCGCTTCAGATGAAAAGAAAAGAAAAAACTACGCCACCGACTCTGAGATGAATAAAGCACCAAAATCTCCCAGGCTTAGGAGCCAAGCCGGGAGTGCGGGTAACTCAGACAAGGATGCTGCTACGAAAACGGCTACACCGACTATGGCTATTACGAAGGCTCTAGAACAAAACCGACGACAACAACAACAACAATATCAATTCATTCCGTCAGATCCAAACGGACATTACGATACGGACGATTCGGATGATGATCTCAGCAGCGATGAGTCAGATGAGGAAGAACTCGATGAGGAGCAACTTGTTGCAAAAGCAGCTTGGGAGAAGGCACAAACTGCGTTAGCGAGAGCGGGATTGCCGCCGATGCAAGAGATCGAGAACGTATTACTGCAAGAACTAAAGAGACTCGAACAAGCAAATACAAAATTAGTGCATGCTCGACTTGCTTTGGAAGCTTGTGATTCTGAACTTTCCGAGCTCTTTGCCAGAGCGGAAGCTAGGAAAGCTGGTGTGTATAACGAAGACGACGACGACGATTTGCGTGAGCAGACAACAAATACGGGATCTTTACCGAGCGATCTTCAGAACATTCACACAGATGACGAGGACGACGACGATTTGCAAGTTGTAGGCAAGAAGAGAAAGAATGCGCGTGATGAAGATGACGACAACGATGATGACGACGACGACGACGACGACGACGACGACGACAACGACGATGATGATGATGATGACGGGGAAGGAGAAGAAGAAGAGAAAATGAAAAAATCGACTCGATCTGGTGGCGCCAAGAACTCCGCGGAAAGAGACAACGCAAACACGAGAAAGAACCTGAGATCAAAAGATGGGAACGAGAAGAAAGAAGAAAGTGGTGCTGCTGTTGAAAAAAAGGATGGGAAAAAAAAATCTGACGATGGTGAAGAAGGTGAAGAAAATGAAGAGGATAAAAATGTCGGAAAGCAAAAAGCGACGGCTAAGAATGCGAATAATAGCAAAAGCAAGCAACAAGCGGATCAAAAAGACTCGAAGAAAAAGAGCAGCGGTAGCGGCCAGAAGAGTTCTGGTGGTGGCGGATCTGGACGAGGTGGATCTGGCTTTCGCTCTGTTTCGGAAGATCGACGTTTCGGAATCTACGATGCTCGACGTTATCGTTCGGTTGAAGAAAATGATAGAAATGCACAAATGAGCGGAGAGAAGATCAACTTCGGACTCGGCGGCTCCAACGCTGCGGCTGCCAATAATGCGCAGAACAGCGCCGGTGTTAGTAATAGCGATGAATCTGGTGAGAAGAATCGAAAACCTGGCAAAGAGAAAGGAAAAGGCACCGGTGGTCAGCAGTCAAAAAAACAAGGCGTTGGGCGAGGTGGTGGAAGTGCCAACGCTAGAGCGAGTTCTTACAAAGAGAGCGCGATGGCGTTTGCAGCGGCGCATTGGCCACAGCAACTGAAAAAACGCAGAGATAACAAAGCTAGAAAGAAGCGGGTCAAGATTGGAAAATCTTTGTGGGAGTAATAATAGTAAACATATCAACACTTAGAGAGAGGAAAGCGAGAATCAACGCAGAATTTTAAATTTCATCGAAACTGTACATTTTTTATTACTGTATAAAAGGATATACTTTCTTTCTCTACGCGGATCAGCCTTGAATCGCGCGTTGTGCCGCTGCATTTTACGCTTGATCCCCTTTTTTAGGAGGAACTACGATTTTCCGTGGCGCTGGAATGTCGCGAAGCGACGACGATCCTTTCTCCCTTCCGCCGGGAAGGTTTTTTCTATTTCCCATCGCTTTACCACCGTCACGCTCGCCAAATTTAGTTTTGTTCTGCCGCAAGTTATTAACAGTATGGTGAACGTTGCGTCTATCTCTACCACCCTCATCGACATCATTGGCGTTAGTATTGTTATCGTTATCTTCGTCAACTTCGATATTGCTATTGATATTCGTCGGGAACCTTTTGCTGTTCTTTTTGTGAGCATTGTTGAGCTTCAAGTTTTCGAGCCTGTTTTTATTCGCGGCGTTTACCGTGGAAACATTGTCTTTACTTCTACCGCTCTTACCGCTCTTGAAATTCGTGCTCGCTCCCTTGAACATGGCTTTCTTCTTCTCTCTGTACGACGCTAGCATTTCCTCTTTCGTGAAAGAATCCTCTTTTTCTCCAACGACGTGAAGATATAAACATTCTGGGTTTCCGCATGGAAAATTGCGTAAGAAGGCGTTACAATATTTCGTCGTGCCATGGCATGCTCGAAGAGGTCTTCCTGTACCGTCTGGATGAGCAGGGACACCGTCAATGCACTGAATGCATGTCTCCGCGTCCGCTTCTGCTTCAAACGTTACGTAAGCGCAACCTGCTAAATTTCCCGCATTACTATCATCATTTCCGCTACCATTGGCCGGTGCTGTCGGACAGGACACTTGTAACTTGATGATACTACCATACTTTCCAAAATACTCCGCCTTCCTCAGTATCTCTTCCTTACACATAGCAGTCGGAATGCCGACCACGTAGACTAAGTTTCGCTGAATGACGCGCACATTGACGAGGTGCTTACGACTACTGTCAATCGGAGCGTTTGGATCGTACGATGAATATCCACCACCACCGCCGCCAAAATTACCATCAAATTCGCCCCCTCCTCTCCCTCGACCTCTGCCTCGTCCTCCTCCGCCGAAGAGAACCCCTCCTCGTCTTCCGCCTCGGCCCCGTCCCCTGCCTCTGCCGCCACCGAATACGATGTTGTTTTCGCCCTCACCGCCGGCACCGTCGTAATTTTCTGCGTACCTACTGTGGGGATGGTTTTGGTATCGGTATGATCGACTACCGTGATGATGATGATGATGATGATGTTGCAAAGATGAAAGCGACGACGAAGATGAAGAATAATTGCCTCCTCCTCCTCCTCCTCTTTCCCTTCGTTGTTGTGCGCTACTCGCATCCGTCAAAGAAGCTACTTGCTCCGCGTCAAACTCGAGCAGATCTTGGTCGTAATCCTGTCGACACGCGGGACACTTCCCAACCGTCTCGCCAAATCCAACTTCCATGATTTGATGCCAACACCACGCGCATAATTGATAGCCGCACTTGCACGGTTTAAAGGCTAAATCGGTCGCATCCATATCGTTACAACACAGCGGGCACGTCTCCGCGTCCTCCTCTTCTTCCTCCTCGTAGGCCTCGTCTCTTCCTTCTCCAGAGTGGTCTCCGTTCCCTCCTCCTCCTCCTCCTTGCCTGTTGTTGAAGTTACCCCCACCGTCGCCATGGTAAGTTCCTCTTCCTCGCGTTTCGACGACGCCTCTCATTTTCTCTCAAGATTTGTCGCGTCTTTCCATGGGCAATGGGGCAAAAATTCTAAAAAACTTCGCGAGCACTCAAATCACGAAGTACGGATGTGTACAAAGTTGGTCGAGAAGAGAGCGAGAGAGAGTGAAAGACATTTTTTACGAAGAGAGAGAGAGAGAGAGAAGAGAAGAGAATAAGAGCATACGAAGACGATAGTATCAGAGAGACAAGAACTATACACTCGAGGCGCACGCGTGAAAGTTTTTGCCACACGCGCGCTTCCTTCTACTTTTACTACAACTTTTTTTACTTCCTATTTATTTACTTTATAAACTATTCTGCGATTCGCCTCCGCTCGCTCCGATGAAAACGAACGGAGAAGTAAGAGTTCGTCTTCTTCGTCTTCTTCTCCCGGCGGTTTAATTTCGGCGCGTTCGCGACGTTCTTCCCTTTTTTCTCGCACACCCAAAACGCAATTTTAGGAGAGAACTTCGTCAGAACGACAGAGAGACCGCACGCGCGCAAACACTCGTTGAAAATATCCACGGAACAAAACGGATTATTTTCCACGCACCTCCTAGGAATCGTGATAAAAAGGACCCCTGTTTCTTTCCTCAACATTTTCGCCATTCGTAGCAACATTTCTCCTCGATCTTCCGGTTCCGCCACGCAGTTCAAAACCATCGAATTGAGAACGACGTCGAACTCGTCTTCGCAAACTTTGAGAGCGAAAAAGTCTCGCTTTTCAATCTTTGGATGTTGCGAGTTCAAATCGATCGAGCGAAACCGTATCCAGCTCGGCGACTGGCAGCAAAACTCCGTGGTTACCGCTCCAACTTCTAACCCGTTCAAAACTTTCCTCTCCTCGCCTTTTCCCGGTCTCTTGTTCAGAGTAGTCAACGTAGAGTAGACGAATTTTCTCACGTGTGAGGTTCGCTGAAGAGCAGCTTGACTCGCTTTTTGATACATGTCTCTTTCCGTTTCCGACGCTGCTCTTGCTGCTCCTTCTCCCGCCTGCTCCAACGCCGCTTCTGATTTCCGGTGAAACTCCGCGGTTATTCGTTTCGCCACTTTTAAGGATTTGACGACGCCAACACCGTGAAGTATCGGTCGCTTCAATTTCTTCTTCTTCTTCTTCTTCTTCATTTTCTTTCTTCCTCGCCGTAACGAGAAATTCTGTCGTGTGTGATTTGTGGTGTACTTGTTTGATCACTTTTCGCACTTTCACAAAAAAAGAACAAACAAACAAAAAAAAACAAAAACGAACGAAAAACAAAAACGCAAAAGAAAAACAAAAAAAGCAACACAACAAGGAAACGAAAGAAACGCGCGCGCTCGTTTTTAGAGAGAGAGTGTGTGTGTGTGTGTGAATATGACGACGACGCGCGAGGAGGAAGAGGCAAACGACTTGGAAGAGGAAGAGGAGAAGGACGAGAAGGATGAGAAGAAGAAGAAACAACAACAACGAGAAGAAGAAGAATTCCTCCGACTTTTGGAAAAGCGACTGCCCCAAAGTCAATCGCACGTGTTGGAGCACGCGAAGAAGATGAAAATGAGCGAGGAGACGAGAGCGAAAATGTGCGCGCAAATGGAAAGCTTAGGCGATGAGTTGGAGTATTTCTGCGACGCGTTTCACCGCGCGATGGTCTCGTCGAAAAAGACAACCGCGACTCTAGAGAAGAGTAAAAAAGAGAAGAAGGAAGAGGAGAGAGAGAGTACGACGAGTACGAGTACGAGTAATACGGACGATGACGGTAACGGTGTCGGATTCGAGAAGAAGAAGAGGAAGACGAGAATCGAACCAATCGTTCCCGACGTCGTGGCTGCGGAAGCGAGCGAAGAGGAAAAGCGAGCGTGGCGGGAAGAAGGTTACGCGTTGATTCGTTCCGGAAAGGTTGGCGCGATTGTCATGGCTGGAGGACAAGGCACGCGATTAGGAAGCGCGTTGCCGAAAGGGACGTTTGATATCGGGTTGCCAAGCAAAAAGTCTCTTTTTCAACTGCAGGCGGAGAGGATTAGAAAAGTGATTGAGCTCGCCGCCGCGGCGGCGGCGGCGGCGGCTGAAAACGAAGAAGGAAAAGAATCCGCGTCGCCCTCTCTGCCTTGGTACATCATGACGTCTCCGCAAACGCACGAACAAACGGTGGAATTTTTTCGTGAAAACGCGTATTTTAATCTCCCAGAAAAGGACGTCGTGTTCTTTCAGCAACAAGAGGCGCCGGTATTTGACGTCGAAGGGAAGATTATTTTAGCACCGGACGGGTCGATTCAAACGTCACCAGATGGAAACGGCAGCATATATCGCGCTCTACTGAAATCAAACGCGTTAGAGAACATGAAAAAGCGCGGCGTTCGACATCTTCATTGCTATTCGGTGGATAACGCGCTCATTCTTCCTGGAGATTGCGAATTCATCGGATACTGCGCTTTACGAGGAAAACAATCGGGCGCTAAAGTGATTGAAAAAACTTCCCCGGACGAAAAAGTCGGCGTGTTTGCGCGAGAAGTAGCCTATTCAAATATCGATGGCGGTGATGGTGATTACACCGAGAAGGAGGATACAGATGGCGGGAGAAGAAAGAGCGCTTTGTCGTCGTCATCTTCGTCGTCGTCGTCTTCAAGAATTCGCGTCTTAGAATACTCGGAGATAGAACCGAGCGTGCGCGACGAGAGAGAGGAAGTGGATTACGATGAAGTGCTTCCGGGTAACATGCGAACCGACGACAGCAACGATCCTTCTTCAATCATTAAAATTGAAAAGTATAACAGACCGCCCTGGAACCACTTTAATCCCGATAATCGTCCGTTACGATTTCGGTGCGCGAATGTAGCGATTCACTATTTTAGCTTAGATTTTTTATACAAAGTAGCGGGAATAGCAAACGCGAGGAGCAGTAGCGGTAAAAAGATAGTCAACGACCAAGACGACCAAGACTCGTTCGCGATGGAGTATCACGTGGCAGAAAAAGACGTGCCTTGTTATGTCGAGGGCGATACCGAGAAGCGAAGAACGAAGAAAGCAATCAAGCTCGAAAGTTTTATATTCGACGCGTACCAGTACTCCAGCGATGGTGTTACTATTTTTGAAGGAGAGCGTAAGCTTGACTTTGCGCCCGTCAAGCAAGCGACCGGTGATGACTCTCCGGAATCGGCGAGACGCATGATTTCTTTCGTGCATTCGACGTGGATTACGAAGAATCGAGGTCGTGTTCAGTGGGGCGGGTACGGAGGACTCGTCGAGGTGAGTCCTCTCGTCAGCTTGCGCGGCGAAAATCTCGAAATCGTGAACGACTGCGACGTGCAGAGAAACACCAGCATCGAACTTGGATGGGAACCACCGTCTGAAAGGCAAACCCCGTGGCACCGGTACTACGGGAAGCACTCGTCGCTTGCTTGAGTGATAAAATTTCTTCTCGTCAGACAGGTTGGATGTGCGTTGTGTGTAATAAAAATACAGAAATACAAACGCGCTGCGCGCGCGCGAACTAAACACCTTTTGAAAATCCTTTCCTCTTCTTTTCCTATACATTCAAGCTTGCTTAAACTCCCAATCGCCTCGACAAATGGGACATTTTTGTTCCGAGTTTCGTCCGTCCAGCCATTTCGTTATGCATCGCAAATGAAACGCGTGCGAACAAACGCCCCACACGACGGGTGAATCATCTCCGGGATATTTACAATCTGGTGCGCACCCATCGTAAGGCGAGTGGCAAATCCCGCACACGTCTGACGCATCGTTCCACGTCCACGTTGCTACGCCTTGCCACGTTTTAAATTTGAGTTTGAGCGGTATCTCCTTCTTCTTCTTCTTCTTCTTTTCTTCTTCTTCTTCTTCTTCTTCTTCTTCTTCTCCTTCGAAGTTTTTGAGTTTTGAAAACGACGACGACGATGAGTCTTCTTTCGTCGTCGTCTTTATCGGCGCGGTTGTTTCCTCCTCCTCCATCTTCTACTTTGTCTTCTTCTTCTACTACTACTACTACTACCACTACCACTGCTACTACTACCACTGCTACTGCTTCGTTGTCTTCTCTCCTCTCTCTCTCTTCTTCTTCTTCTTCTTCTTCTTCTTCTTCTTCTTTGTCTTCTTCTTTCTGAAGTTTTTGCTTTTTTTTTCCGTCCTCCTCTTGTTTTTTTCTCGTCCGTAAAAACGAGGGAAACAAATTTACGTTGCCCTCCCTCCCTCTCTCTTTTGCCTTTTTTTATGAAAAAAAATGGCAAAATTATGACCACAAACCCACAACATACTTTTCAAACCCACTGAACCCCTCGCCAAGAATACAAAAAAAACAAAAACCCCTAACGCGCGCAAAAAAATGTTGCATCCCCCGGTGGAAAGTCGCTTTTAGTACTCTAACATGCGAGGGGTCCCCGGGTGGCAACTCACTCGCTGTATTGTACCGACGTTATTGCGTGGAGCTGAAAGTATACGGATGATATATCGCGCGCGCGCAGGGACGTTTTTTTGTATTTTTTTTGTATTCTTGGCGAGGGGTTCAGTGGGTTTGAAAAGTATGTTGTGGGTTTGTGGTACAATTTTGCCAAAAAAAATGAAAAAAGAAGACATGCAGATCTGTTTTTTTTTTTTATCCTCTCTCTTCTCTTCGCGACCCTCTCTGTATTGGGCGTCGTCGCGATCTATTTTCACGTCATTCAACAAACAACGTCGTTCGCGCGTTTCTTTCGTTCGTGCGTGTCGTTCGTTCTTCTTTTTCTTCTTCTTCTTCTTCTTCAGTTCGAGAACGACTGCAGAACAGCAGCAGCATGGCGAAAAAGAACAACAACAACAACAACAACAACAACAACAACGCCTCGTTGAAGCTTTCTGGTGTCCCGAGCCCAGGCGAAGCCATTCGGGCCGTGCTCCTCGGGCATTTAAACCTCGATTCGAACGCAGACGCGACCATCGAATTCCAATGGTACAAAAAAGAGTATCAGGGACCAGAGGGAAAGGCCCAACAACAACGACAAAAAGGGGATCCAGATCGTCGAGAGGAATTGAGCGAGGACGAGCGCGAGATTCTCGGTGCTACTGCGCCGATCTATTTGGTAAGAAAAGTTGACCTCGGGTGTCGCATCGGTGCGCTGGCGATTTTGCGAAGTCGGATTAGCGACGAGGACGACGAGGATGATTTTGACAAAGACGACGAGGTTTTTGAGAAAAAGAAGAAGGAGGGCAGTAAGATTTTGGCAACGTTTAAAAGTGAAATGGCAGATATCGTGCACATGGAAAACGACGACGTCGATGAAGACTATTACGGCGACGATGCGCCGGGGGAGCGGAAGAAAAAGATGAGCAAGAGTTGGAGAATGCAACAAAAATCAAAGACGTCTTCTTCTTCTTCGACGGCGACGGCGACGGCGACGGCGACGGCGAAAATGATCCACAAACAATCTCACCACGAAGAAAAAGTCACAACGACGTCGTCGTCCTCGATTTCGTCTCCGGATGATCTTGAAGCCACAAAGAGAAGTGGTAGCGGCGGCGAGGGCAACACGAGAACGGGTAAGTCGGCGGTCAAAGAAGAGAGACGACGAATTGAAGGTGACTCTACTCCGATTGGCGACGAGAGATTTAAAAAAGCAGAGGAGAGGTTACTCGCAAACGCAGGGATTTTTAAACATAAATACGGCGAGTCGGGTCGCTACGCCGACGACGAAGACAACGACGACGAGTCTTTGAACGACTATTTACTTTTCGGCGAGAAGGAAGAGTACGAGAAAACAAAAACAAAAGCGACGACCTCGCGAAAATTAGAAGAAGACAAAGTGTACGTGGACGTTTTGCGCAAGTTGAAAGCGTACGCGAGACTGCGAATTCGGCACATGGGACATTTCTCGAAGCTTTTGAAGTTTGCAACATTTTGTGTTTTATATTGCATCATGTTGTATTTGCAGACGGATCCGATATTGAGTTTCGAAGTTTCATCGACAGTCAGAGGTCTGTTGAAACCTGGCATTAAATCGACCCAGGATGTGAACTACCTCTACGAGTGGCTGAGTGAGAGCGTAGTCGACCCGATCTGGACGGAAGCGCCGTGCGGTGACGGCGTGTGCTCGGCGCCGTACGAGTTTCCAGCTTTCGGAAGATTTGGATGTAAAGCCGATTGCGGCTCCGCAACAAATCTGATTTCATTGGTTATTCACGTGCAAAGCAGATTCGGTAATTCTCCAGCCGTGAGTGCGCTCGAGCTCATGTCTCAAGCCAGTTGGAATTTATGTTTGCAAGATCCCGGTCGGTACGCGAACGACTTGCCGGATTTATGCTGGTACGAAAAAGATCAAAAATTTTTGGAAGTTGACACTAATAAGCTTATCCGACTCGATGTTATCACCGGTAATTGGTACGTGCGCCTCAAGGGTGATCATCTCGGTTTAGTCGCGGGGAAAATTTACCGGCTCGAAGCGAATGGTGATTTAGTTTTAACGCCGACGGTTCCTTTATGGCTGACGTGTACGAAAACCTCTCTTTTCAAGAATGTTCAAGCGCGGGTGTCGAAATTTGCATCCGCATCGCTATCGTCGCGCTCCGTAAAGAAAGAGACTTCTTCAATCAGTGAAGCATACTCTACGGCTCCGAGAAGACGCATGGATAATTTATCTTTTTCGTCTTCGACGGCGGCGGCGGCGGCGGCGGCGGCGGCGGCGGCGGCGGCGGCGGCTCCCGATGACATCGCGTTCGACAGAGATGGTGACGCGGGCCAAACGAGTCGTCGAAACTTGAAGCAACAGAAGGATGTAACGGAGCTCACGGATTCAAATTTTTTCGATGCGATTGATACGTGTTTGAGAAAGTCCGAGCAAGGTCTTCACGCCGCCGATGGGAGATGTATTGCTAGCGAGTATGGATCGATGTCTGAATGGAACACTAGTCTCGTGACCAACATGGAAGGTGCGTTTCGGGATATGGTGACATTTAACGCAGATATTTCTGGATGGGATACGAGCGGTGTGACGAATATGGCGCACATGTTTTATAACGCTCGGCAATTTTCCCAAAATATTACGAGCTGGGAAGGTTCTGCCGCTTCTTCTCTTCAAAGAAACATATTTTATGGCGCAAAGTCTTTTACGTCCCAATTTATTTGTCCTTTTTATTTTCACAGCGCGCCAAATTCGTGCACAACGCGAGAGCCGGTGCCGCACGCAACGTTTAAAACTGCCGTGAATTCGTGTTTGGAGGAAGAACCGCTGAAGGGCGATTGCACGACGTACGGTACCGTGACGACTAAATACGGCGTCATGTCCGAATGGGACGTGAGCTCAGTCACGGATATGCAAAGCGCTTTTTCATCAAAGACTACTTTCAACGGCGATATTTCGAATTGGGACGTCCGTTTCGTGAAAGATATGAGCCACATGTTTTACAGTGCGAACTCGTTTACTCAAGACTTGAGTAGCTGGCAGACGTGGAGTCTCACGAGAATGTACAGATTATTGCATGGAGGGAACGCGAACCCTGATTTATCAAACTGGGACGTTTCGAACGTTCGAAATATGGATCGTGTTTTTGACCAGGCGTACTCTTTCAATAAGGATATAAGCAGCTGGGACGTGTCGAGCGTCACGAGTATGAATTACATATTCACCGAAGCAAAATCGTTCAATCGAGATTTGGATGCATGGGATACGTCCAGCGTGACTGATATGCAATACATGTTCAATAAAGCGCACGTTTTTAACGGCAAAGTGGGTTCTTGGGACGTGTCGAAGGTGACGAGTATGTACCAAATGTTTTACGAAGCTTCTGTGTTCAACCAACCCGTCGCTTCCTGGGATGTTTCTCAAGTGACGACTTTGTCGCACATGTTTTATAACGCGAAGAAGTTTAACCAACCGGTTGGAAACTGGAACGTCTCGAAAGTAACCGCGTTTGACAATGCTTTTGCGTATGCTTCTGCTTTTGCTCAAGATTTATCCAAATGGACTGGGAGTGGCGTGGAAACTACACAGCATAATATATTTTATGGTGCGACGGCATTTCAGGCGAAATATTGGTGTCCTGATACGAACAGTGGTCCCATTAAATTTTGTCAGTGTAAAGCAGACTGTCCTCCTTCGCCCTCTCCGCCACCTTCATCTTCTTTTGAGAAAACTGCAATCACGACTGATAACATCAAAACAGCCGCGCAGACGTGCTTGTATTCCAATATAGGTGCACACGTTTCAAACGGTTTGTGCGCGGCTACGGAATACGGGTCTATGCCTGATTGGGACGTGAGCAAAGTGACGAGTATGAGTGGGCTCTTCGGATCCATCTTGTCTAGCGTTCGGTCTCAATTTAACGCCGACTTGTCTCGTTGGGACGTGAGCGCCGTCACGGATATGCAATACCTTTTCAACGGATGCACGGCTTTCAACGGAGACATTTCAAACTGGGACGTGAGCAAAGTGACAAATATGCAATACATGTTCCAATCGACGAGCTCGTTCACGCGAGATATCAACAGTTGGAACATACAAAGAGTGACTAGTTTTGAAGGTTTTCTGTACGCTTCGTATTCGAATCCGAAGTTATCTAATTGGAACGTGTCCCAAACGAGGAATATGAATCAACTTTTCGATCACGCGTACTCTTTCGACCAGAATATCAGTCGTTGGGACGTGTCGAGCGCGACGAGCATGAGTTATATGTTTCGCAACGCGGATAGTTTCAACTACGACTTGGACGCGTGGGATACGTCGAGAGTGACAAGTATGTATGCGATGTTCAATGGTGCAGATATATTCAACGGCAAAATTGGTTCGTGGAACGTGTCTGAGGTGACAAATATGGGATACATGTTTCGTCAAACTTCTGAATTTAATCAGCCCATTGGCCAATGGGACGTATCAAAGGTGACAAATATGCACTACATGTTTTATTCCGCGAGCGTATTCAATCAGCCCATTGGCCAATGGGACGTATCGAAGGTGACAAATATGCAATACATGTTCCAATCAGCGCCTGCGTTTGCGCAAAGCCTCGAAAGTTGGCCGGAGACGACGTCTACTCTTGCGACGAATTGGTACGGACCGACACATGAAATGTTCAACGGCGCCACTGCGTTCCGCTCTAAGTTCTCGTGCCCAAGTGGAAATTTCGGTCCGCCTGTAAAATGCACGTGTACTTTGAGCTGCCCTTTGTCGGACTCTGTGTTTACGACACAAATTGACATCTGTTTACAAGCCAGTCCTGTTCACGGTTTGTGTTCTGACAGCGCGCCAAAGTACGGGGCTATGCCCGACTGGGATGTATCGGAAGTGACGAACATGTCTCACGCGTTTCGAGACTTGGCTTCTTTCGACGCAGACCTATCCAAGTGGGAGGTTTCTCAAGTCACGGACATGGAGTACATGTTTCACGGCGCGTCTTCTTTCTCTTCGGATATTTCAGCCTGGGACACCTCCAGAGTAACGAACATGCAAAACATGTTTCACGGCGCGTCGTCTTTTCGTTCGTTCGTCTCGGACTGGAAGGGTGCGGCTGCAACCAGTACGCAATCGAACATGTTTTTGGACGCTGAGGCTTTTGTTTCTCGCTTTCTATGCCGAGACTCTAAGAGCGGCCCAGCGTCAACGTGTGCTCCTCGCCCTCCACCTTCACCTTTAACCGATGCTTCTTTTTACGACGCAGTCAGTGCGTGCACTCTTGAAGCTCCCGTGAGTGGCGAGTGCATCACGTATGGTTTTTCCACGACTAATTTTGGCACCATGCCGAACTGGGACGTTCAATACGTCACAGACATGTCTTACTCGTTCAAGAACGAGCCTGTTTTTGACGGTGATATATCCTCTTGGAATACATCGAGCGTCACGAGTATGCGCGAAATGTTTCACTTTGCGACTTCCTTCAACCGCGCTATTGGCGGATGGAACACGTCAAAAGTGACCGATATTCAATCGATGTTTTCGAATGCGCAAAGTTTCAACCAGCCGCTGAACACGTGGGACACGTCGAGCGTCACTACTATGTACTCCACTTTTGCAAACGCGCAAAGTTTCAATCAACCGCTTCGTTATTGGGACACGTCTAGAGTAGCCCGCGCTGAAAAAATGTTTTCAGGCGCCTCTTCCTTTGCGCGGAGACTTTACCTTCCAAGCTCGGCTATTCAGACTGGCATATTCTCTGGTTGCGTCGCATTTCACGAGAAGTACTCGTGTTCGACTGAAAACGATGGCCCCGCGGATTCGTGCGAATTCAAATTCAAAGTAGAACAAGCGAACTTCCAAACTGCCGTGAATTCGTGTTTGGAGGAAGAACGACTGATGAAGGGCGATGGTGCCATTCTGAAGGGCGATTGCACGACGTACGGTACCGTGACGACTAAATACGGCGTCATGTCCGAATGGGACGTGAGCTCAGTCACGGATATGCAAAGCGCTTTTTCATCAAAGACTACTTTCAACGGCGATATTTCGAATTGGGACGTCCGTTTCGTGAAAGATATGAGCCACATGTTTTACAGTGCGAACTCGTTTACTCAAGACTTGAGTAGCTGGCAGACGTGGAGTCTCACGAGAATGTACAGATTATTGCATGGAGGGAACGCGAACCCTGATTTATCAAACTGGGACGTTTCGAACGTTCGAAATATGGATCGTGTTTTTGACCAGGCGTACTCTTTCAATAAGGATATAAGCAGCTGGGACGTGTCGAGCGTCACGAGTATGAATTACATGTTCACTGAAGCAGAATCGTTCAATCGAGATTTGGATGCATGGGATACGTCCAGCGTGACTGATATGCAATACATGTTCAATGAAGCGCACGTTTTTAACGGCAAAGTGGGTTCTTGGGACGTGTCGAAGGTGACGAGTATGTACCAAATGTTTTACGAAGCTTCTGTGTTCAACCAACCCGTCGCTTCCTGGGATGTTTCTCAAGTGACGACTTTGTCGCACATGTTTTATAACGCGAAGAAGTTTAACCAACCGGTTGGAAACTGGGACGTCTCGAAAGTAACCGCGTTTGACAATGCTTTTGCGTATGCTTCTGCTTTTGCTCAAGATTTATCCAAATGGACTGGGAGTGGCGTGGAAACTACACAGAGTAATATATTTTATGGTGCGTATGCATTTCAGGCGAAATATTGGTGTCCTGATACGAACAGTGGTCCCATTAAATTTTGTCAGTGTAAAGCAGACTGTCCTCCTTCGCCCTCTCCGCCACCTTCATCTTCTTTTGAGAAAACTGCAATCACGACTGATAACATCAAAACAGCCGCGCAGACGTGCTTGTATTCCAATATAGGTGCACACGTTTCAAACGGTTTGTGCGCGGCTACGGAATACGGGTCTATGCCTGATTGGGACGTGAGCAAAGTGACGAGTATGAGTGGGCTCTTCGGATCCATCTTGTCTAGCGTTCGGTCTCAATTTAACGCCGACTTGTCTCGTTGGGACGTGAGCGCCGTCACGGATATGCAATACCTTTTCAACGGATGCACGGCTTTCAACGGAAACATTTCAAACTGGGACGTGAGCTCTGTGACTCGTATGCAATACATGTTCCAATCGACGAGATCGTTCACGCGAGATATCAACAGTTGGAACATACAAAGAGTGACTAGTTTTGAAGGTTTTCTGTACGCTTCGTATTCGAATCCGAAGTTATCTAATTGGAACGTGTCCCAAACGAGGAATATGAATCAACTTTTCGATCACGCGTACTCTTTCGACCAGAATATCATTCGTTGGGACGTGTCGAGCGCGACGAGCATGAGTTATATGTTTCGCAACGCGGATAGTTTCAACTACGACTTGGACGCGTGGGATACGTCGAGAGTGACAAGTATGTATGCGATGTTCAATGGTGCAAATATATTCAACGGCAAAATTGGTTCGTGGGACGTGTCTGAGGTGACAAATATGGAATACATGTTTTATTCCGCGAGCGTATTCAATCAGCCCATTGGCCAATGGGACGTATCCAAGGTGACAAATATGCGATACATGTTCCAATCTGCGAGCGTATTCAATCAGCCCATTGGCCAATGGGACGTATCGAAGGTGACAAATATGCAATACATGTTCCAATCAGCGCCTGCGTTTGCGCAAAGCCTCGAAAGTTGGCCGGAGACGACGTCTACTCTTGCGACGAATCATAACGGACCGACACATGAAATGTTCAACGGCGCCACTGCGTTCCGCTCTAAGTTCTCGTGCCCGAGTGGAAATTACGGTCCACCTGTAAAATGCGTTGCTAACAACATGGACGCTTTAATACTTTCTGATTCAAGTTTTTACGAAGGAGTGACACTATGTTTATTGGAAGCTCCGGTTGATGGCAATTGTTATTATTACGGGACCACTTTTACCAGTTTTGGCCTCTTATCAGATTGGGACGTTTCGCGAGTGACTAACATGTCTTTTGCGTTTAAAGGGTCTGAAAAGTTCAACGGCGACCTTTCCAAGTGGCAAACCACGAGCGCTACGAGTATGGATGAAATGTTTTCCGGAGCGCTTTCGTTTACTGGATCGTCGCTTGGAGAATGGGATACTTCAAGCGTGGTGAGTATGAGCGGTATGTTTTTAAACGCCACCTCTTTTAATCAGCCGCTTTCTCTTTGGGATACTTCTCAAGTGACTGATATGTCTAGCATGTTTGAGAGCGCCGTTTCTTTCGCTCAGCCTGTTTATTTTTGGACTGGATCGGCAGCGACGAGCTCGAGCGGCTCCACTTCTATCTTTGCTTCTGCGAGTTCGTTTTTGGAAAAGTATTCGTGTGATTCCGCTGTCGATGGTCCGGTGAATACGTGCACGTGCTCTAATCCTGATTTCTGTGTGAGCGATGCTGTCTTCTTGAGCGCCGTTTCGGCGTGCCTTGCCGAGTCTCCCGCTCTTGGCTTGTGTCCGACCTACGGTACGATGACTACGCAGTTCGGAGCTTCTATGTCTATTTGGGATACCTCTTTAGTGACGAACATGTCTCACGCGTTTGAGCAGGCGACGTCTTTTAACGGCGATATTTCCTCCTGGAATACAGTCAGCGTGACGAGTATGTCTTCTATGTTCTTCAACGCGTCATCGTTTGCCGGTGAAATCTTGGGATGGACCGGCAGTGCAACAGAGAGTGCGCAAGTTGACATGCTTTTTGGCGCTTCACAGTTTCATCGCAAGTACATTTGCTCGGACACTGTTCGCGGTCCTTTGAGCGCTTGCGTTGCTCGAGTAAAGCTAACCGATGAAACTTTTTTTGATGCGAGAACCTCGTGTTTGGAGGAAGAGCCGCTGAAGGGCGATTGCACGACGTACGGTACCGTGACGAATAAATACGGCGTCATGTCTGATTGGGACGTCAGTCTCGTGACAAAGATGAACTCGGCGTTCCAATCCAAGACTACTTTCAACGGCGATATTTCGAATTGGGATGTGAGCTCTGTCGTGGATATGAGCTACATGTTTTATAATGCACATGTTTTCAAGCACGACATTGGTTCATGGAACGTATCAAGTGTTACTACAATAGCATTCATGTTCCACTCGACGAGATCGTTCACGCGAGATATCAACAGTTGGAACATACAAAGAGTGACTAGTTTTGAAGGTTTTCTGTACGATTCGTATTCGAATCCGAAGTTGTCTAATTGGAACGTGTCCCAAACGAGGAATATGAATCAACTTTTCGATCACGCGTACTCTTTCGACCAGAATATCAGTCATTGGGACGTGTCGAGCGCGACGAGCATGAGTTATATGTTTCGCAACGCGGATAGTTTCAACTACGACTTGGACGCATGGGATACGTCGAGAGTGACTGATATGCATGCGATGTTCAATGGTGCAGATATATTCAACGGCAAAATTGGTTCGTGGGACGTGTCGAGTGTGACGACTTTGTATGCAATGTTTCAAGGCGCTGGCGTGTTTAATCAGCCCATTGGAAGATGGGATGTTTCTCGGGTGACGCAAATGTCTTATTTATTTTACCAAGCGCCTGCATTCAATCAGCCTATTGGGAATTGGGACGTTTCCAATGTGAACGGGCTTTCTGACACTTTTTCGCACGCGTACGCGTTTGTTCAGGATTTATCTGGATGGACTGGCAGTGTAACCACGACTTTGCAATCGGAATTATTCAATAATGCGTATGCATTTCAGGCAAAGTACAGTTGTTTTGACACGATTCGGGGCCCTATCAGCTCGTGCCGATGCAAAGCAGACTGTCCTCCGTCGCCTTCTTCTCCACCTTCATCTTCTTTTGAGAAAACTGCAATCACGACTGATAACATCAAAACAGCCGCGCAGACGTGCTTGTATTCCAATGGAGGTGCACACGTTTCAAACGGTTTGTGCGCGGCTACGGAATACGGGTCTATGCCTGATTGGGACGTGAGCAAAGTGACGAGTATGCGTGAGCTCTTTAAATCTCTCGACGCTAACGTTCGTTCTCAATTTAACGTCGACTTGTCTCGTTGGGACGTGAGCGCCGTCACGGATATGGGATACCTTTTCGACGGATTCACAATTTTTAACGCCGACTTGTCTCGTTGGGACGTGAGCGCCGTCACGGATATGCAATACCTTTTCAACGGATGCACGGCTTTCAACGGAGACATTTCAAACTGGGACGTGAGCAAAGTGACAAATATGCAATACATGTTCCAATCGACGAGCTCGTTCACGCGAGATATCAACAGTTGGAACATACAAAGAGTGACTAGTTTTGAAGGTTTTCTGTACACTTCGTATTCGAATCCGAAGTTATCTAATTGGAACGTGTCCCAAACGAGGAATATGAATCAACTTTTCGATCACGCGTACTCTTTCGACCAGAATATCATTCGTTGGGACGTGTCGAGCGCGACGAGCATGAGTTATATGTTTCGCAACGCGGATAGTTTCAACTACGACTTGGACGCGTGGGATACGTCGAGAGTGACTGATATGTATGCGATGTTCAATGGTGCAGATATATTTAACGGCAAAATTGGTTCGTGGGACGTGTCTGAGGTGACAAATATGGGATACATGTTTTATGAAACTTCTGCATTTAATCAGCCCATTGGCCAATGGGACGTATCAAAGGTGACAAATATGGAATTCATGTTTTATTCCGCGAGCGTATTCAATCAGCCCATTGGCCAATGGGACGTATCAAAGGTGACAAATATGCACTACATGTTCCAATCTGCGAGCGTATTCAATCAGCCCATTGGCCAATGGGACGTATCAAAGGTGACAAATATGCAATACATGTTCCGATCTGCGCCTGCGTTTGCGCAAAGCCTCGAAAGTTGGCCGGAGACGACGTCTACTCTTGCGACGAATTGGTACGGACCGACATATGAAATGTTCAACGGCGCCACTGCGTTCCGCTCTAAGTTCTCGTGCCCAAGTGGAAATTTCGGTCCGCCTGTAAAATGCACGTGTACTTTGAGCTGCCCTTTGTTGGACTCTGTGTTTACGACACAAATTGACATCTGTTTACAAGCCAGTCCTGTTCACGGTTTGTGTTCTGACAGCGCGCCAAAGTACGGGGCTATGCCCGACTGGGACGTATCGGAAGTGACGAACATGTCTCACGCGTTTCGAGACTTGGCTTCTTTCGACGCAGACCTATCCAAGTGGGAGGTTTCTCAAGTCACGGACATGGAGTACATGTTTCACGGCGCGTCTTCTTTCTCTTCGGATATTTCAGCCTGGGACACCTCCAGAGTAACGAACATGCAAAACATGTTTCACGGCGCGTCGTCTTTTCGTTCGTCCGTCTCGGACTGGAAGGGTGCGGCTGCAACCAGTACGCAATCGAACATGTTTTTGGACGCTGAGGCTTTTGTTTCTCGCTTTCTATGCCGAGACTCTAAGAGCGGCCCAGCGTCAACGTGTGCTCCTCGCCCTCCACCTTCACCTTTAACCGATGCTTCTTTTTACGACGCAGTCAGTGCGTGCACTCTTGAAGCTCCCGTGAGTGGCGAGTGCATCACGTATGGTTTTTCCACGACTAATTTTGGCACCATGCCGAACTGGGACGTTCAATACGTCACAGACATGTCTTACTCGTTCAAGAACGAGCCTGTTTTTGACGGTGATATATCCTCTTGGAATACATCGAGCGTCACGAGTATGCGCGAAATGTTTCACTTTGCGACTTCCTTCAACCGCGCTATTGGCGGATGGAACACGTCAAAAGTGACCGATATTCAATCGATGTTTTCGAATGCGCAAAGTTTCAACCAGCCGCTGAACACGTGGGACACGTCGAGCGTCACTACTATGTACTCCACTTTTGCAAACGCGCAAAGTTTCAATCAACCGCTTCATTATTGGGACACTTCCTCGGTTTTAACTATGTATGCGATGTTCGATAACGCATGGGTGTTTGATCAAAATCTGAAATCATGGAAATTTTCCGTCGTGACAAATATGGATTGGATGTTTCATCAGAGCAAATCCTTTTCGAGAAGCTTAGAGAGTTGGAGCGGACAGATATTGAGCGAACGACAAGAAGGCATATTCTTGGGCGCAACGCAATTCAACAGCACGTTTGCATGTGCAAATGAAAGTAATGGCCCAATCAGTAGTTGTGCGCGCCGATTTCTTTGTAGCTCTTGTATCAGCGATAATGCCGCATTTATCAACGCGATCAGCTCGTGCTTGTCGATAGAGAGTAATGGTTTGTGTTATAGTAGTCCATATGGAGCTATGCCTGATTGGGACGTGAGCGAAGTGACGAGTATGAGAGATCCTTTCCAATCCATCTCGTCCAGCGTTCGGTCTCAATTTAATGCCGACTTGTCGCGTTGGGACGTAAGCGCAGTCACGGATATGGGATACCTTTTCAACGGATTCACAATTTTTAACGCCGACTTGTCTCGTTGGGACGTGAGCGCCGTCACGGATATGCAATACCTTTTCAACGGATGCAGGGCTTTCAACGGAGACATTTCAAACTGGGACGTGAGCTCTGTGACTCGTATGCAATACATGTTCCAATCGACGAGCTCGTTCACGCGAGATATCAACAGTTGGAACATACAAAGAGTGACTAGTTTTGAAGGTTTTCTGTACGCTTCGTATTCGAATCCGAAGTTATCTAATTGGAACGTGTCCCAAACGAGGAATGTGAATCAACTTTTCGATCACGCGTACTCTTTCGACCAGAATATCAGTCGTTGGGACGTGTCGAGCGCGACGAGCATGAGGTATATGTTTCGCAACGCGGATAGTTTCAACTACGACTTGGACGCGTGGGATACGTCGAGAGTGACTGATATGTATGCGATGTTCAATGGTGCAAATATATTTAACGGCAAAATTGGTTCGTGGGACGTGTCTGAGGTGACAAATATGGGATACATGTTTTATTCCGCGAGCGTATTCAATCAGCCCATTGGCCAATGGGACGTATCAAAGGTGACAAATATGGAATTCATGTTTTATTCCGCGAGCGTATTCAATCAGCCCATTGGCCAATGGGACGTATCAAAGGTGACAAATATTGAATACATGTTTCATTCCGCGAGCGTATTCAATCAGCCCATTGGCCAATGGGATGTCTCTAAAGTAACATCACTTTCTCACACTTTCTACAAGGCATTTGCTTTCGCTCAGGATTTATCGATCTGGACAGGAAGTGCAACGGAAACTTTACAGACCAATATGCTTTCAAGCGCGACGGCATTTCACGCGAAATATTTGTGTCCTGATGTGTCCGGTGGCCCTCTTAAGTGGTGCGTGTGCAAATCAGAATGTCCTGCTTCTTCTCCGCCTCCGCAGTTACCAAAAATCGTTCTCACTGACGCAAACATCCACTCCGCCATTGAAACGTGTTTTTATTCAAATGGTGGCGCTCATAGAACGGATGGAATGTGCTCTTCCACAGAATTTGGCGCCATGCCAGATTGGGACGTGAGCAGAGTGAAAGACATGACAAGTTTGTTCTCTGGATATTCCACTTTTAATGCAAATATCTCTAGATGGGATGTGAGTGCAGTCAAAGATATGAGTGACATGTTTTATCAGGCGAACTCTTTTAAGCAGGACTTGAATAATTGGCAAACGACAAGTTTGACGAAAATGTACCGAATATTTCGAGAATCCAATGCAAATCCAAAAATTAGCAATTGGGACGTTTCTTCTGTTACATCTATGCAGAACGTTTTCCAGGACGCTTACGGGTTCAATTGCGACATAAGCGGATGGGACGTTTCTCGGGTGGTTACAATGCAGCAAATGTTCCTCAGAGCTCGTAAATTCAATCAAGACTTGAATTCTTGGAACACGTCGAGCGTGACAAAGATGAACGAAATGTTTAGGGAAGCCCAAGTTTTCAATAGCAGGATAAGTTCGTGGGATGTGTCTAAAGTTGAAGATGTGAATTATATGTTCTATAGCGCAGCTAAATTTAACCAAAATATTGAACACTGGGATGTCTCGAGTGTCACAGATATGAGATATATGTTTTACCGCACATACAAGTTTGATCAAGATTTAAATTTGTGGGATACTTCAAAAGTGAAGAGCATGAAGGGGATGTTTTACCACGCGTACGATTTTAACCATCCTGTCGGTGATTGGGATGTTTCTCAAGTAACGGATATGCAAGAGATGTTCCGGCTTGCTCGTTCGTTTAATCAGCCTATCAAAGATTGGGACGTTTCCCAGGTGACAGATATGCGATACATGTTTTATGGTGCGAATGCTTTTGCGCAGAGCCTTCAGAATTGGCCGGAAACACCAACTACGAGTTCAACGAGTAACAACAATGTTCAAATGTTTTACGAGAGTACTGCGTTCCGCTCAAAGTTCTCGTGCCCGAGTGAGGACAACGGGCCACCTATAAAATGCACGTGTTCAAATGCAAAGCTCTGCATTTTTGACTCGACTTTCGCTTATTCTGTTTCATCTTGTCTCAGAGAGGCTCCGGTTGATGGCAATTGTTATTATTACGGGACCACTTTTACCAGTTTTGGCCTCTTATCAGATTGGGACGTTTCGCGAGTGACTAACATGTCTTTTGCGTTTAAAGGGTCTGAAAAGTTCAACGGCGACCTTTCCAAGTGGCAAACCACGAGCGCTACGAGTATGGATGAAATGTTTTCCGGAGCGCTTTCGTTTACTGGATCGTCGCTTGGAGAATGGGATACTTCAAGCGTGGTGAGTATGAGCGGTATGTTTGAAGACGCCATCTCCTTCAATCAGCCGCTTTCTCTTTGGGACACTTCTCAAGTGACTGATATGTCTAGCATGTTTTTAAACGCCACCTCTTTTAATCAGCCGCTTTCTCTTTGGGATACTTCTCAAGTGACTGATATGTCTAGCATGTTTGAGAGCGCCGTTTCTTTCGCTCAGCCTGTTTGTTTTTGGACTGGATCGGCAGCGACGAGCTCGAGCGGCTCCACTTCTATCTTTGCTTCTGCGAGTTCGTTTTTGGAAAAGTATTCGTGTGATTCCGCTGTCGATGGTCCGGTGAATACGTGCACGTGCTCCAATCCTGTTTTCTGTGTGAGCGATGCTGTCTTCTTGAGCGCCGTTTCGGCGTGCCTTGCCGAGTCTCCCGCGCTTGGCTTGTGTCCGACCTACGGTACGATGACTACGCAGTTCGGAGCTTCTATGTCTATTTGGGATACCTCTTTAGTGACGAACATGTCTCACGCGTTTGAGCAGGCGACGTCTTTTAACGGCGATATTTCCTCCTGGAATACAGTCAGCGTGACGAGTATGTCTTCTATGTTCTTCAACGCGTCATCGTTTGCCGGTGATATCTTGGGATGGACCGGCAGTGCAACGGAGAGTGCGCAAGTTGACATGCTTTTTGGCGCTTCACAGTTTCATCGCAAGTACATTTGCTCGGACACTGTTCGCGGTCCTTTGAGCGCTTGCGTTGCTCGAGTAAAGCTAACCGATGAAACTTTTTTTGGTGCGAGAACCTCGTGTTTGGAGGAAGAGCCGCTGAAGGGCGATTGCACGACGTACGGTACCGTGGCGAATAAATACGGCGTCATGTCTGATTGGGACGTCAGTCTCGTGACAAAGATGAACTCGGCGTTCCAATCCAAGACTACTTTCAACGGCGATATTTCGAATTGGGATGTGAGCTCTGTCGTGACTATGAGCCAAATGTTTTACAGTGCGAACTCGTTTACTCAAGACTTGAGTAGCTGGCAGACGTCGAGTCTCACGAGTATGTACAGAATAATGTATGCTTCGTATGCGAATATAGACGTGAGTAATTGGGACGTTTCGAACGTTCGAAATATGGATCGTGTTTTTGACAACGCGTACTCTTTCAATAAGGATATAAGCAGCTGGGACGTGTCGAGCGTCACGAGTATGAATTACATGTTCAAAAGTGCTCATATTTTCAACCAAGATTTGAACAACTGGGATACATCGAGTGTTACTGCAATGAGCGAAATGTTCAACGGTGCAATCAGATTCAACCAACCTTTGCGTAGCTGGATCACATCAAGCGTGACTGATATGAGCTACATGTTTTATAATGCAATTGCCTTCAATGGAGATATGAATGGTTGGGACACATCGAGCGTGACCACAATGACGCACATGTTTTCGATGGCGACACTCTTTAATCAAGACCTTGATGCTTGGACATCCGTGTCGAGTGTTACAAGCATGGAAAGCATGTTTAACGGCGCTTCTAATTTCAACGGGAAGATCAGCACGTGGGATGTTTCTTCAGTACACATGGGGTACATGTTTTATAACGCGAAGAAGTTCAACCAACCGATTGGAAACTGGGACGTCTCGAAAGTAACCACGTTTGACAATGCTTTCTCGTATGCTTCTGCTTTTACTCAAGATTTATCCAAGTGGACTGGAAGCAAAGCGGAAACTACGCAGAGTAATGTATTTTTAGGTGCGACGGCATTTCAGGCGAAATATTGGTGTCCTGATACGAACAGTGGTCCCATTAAATTTTGTCAGTGTAAAGCAGACTGTCCTCCTTCGCCCTCTCCGCCACCTTCATCTTCTTTTGAGAAAACTGCAATCACGACTGATAACATCAAAACAGCCGCGCAGACGTGCTTGTATTCCAATATAGGTGCACACGTTTCAAACGGTTTGTGCGCGGCTACGGAATACGGGTCTATGCCTGATTGGGACGTGAGCAAAGTGACGAGTATGCGTGGGCTCTTCGGATCCATCTTGTCTAGCGTTCGGTCTCAATTTAACGCCGACTTGTCTCGTTGGGACGTGAGCGCCGTCACGGATATGCAATACCTTTTCAACGGATGCACGGCTTTCAACGGAAACATTTCAAACTGGGACGTGAGCTCTGTGACTCGTATGCAACACATGTTCCAATCGACGAGCTCGTTCACGCGAGATATCAACAGTTGGAACATACAAAGAGTGACTAGTTTTGAAGGTTTTCTGTACGCTTCGTATTCGAATCCGAAGTTATCTAATTGGAACGTGTCCCAAACGAGGAATATGAATCAACTTTTCGATCACGCGTACTCTTTCGACCAGAATATCAGTCGTTGGGACGTGTCGAGCGCGACGAGCATGAGTTATATGTTTCGCAACGCGGATAGTTTCAACTACGACTTGGACGCGTGGGATACGTCGAGAGTGACAAGTATGTATGCGATGTTCAATGGTGCAGATATATTCAACGGCAAAATTGGTTCGTGGGACGTGTCTGAGGTGACAAATATGGAATACATGTTTCGTCAAACTTCTGCATTTAATCAGCCCATTGGCCAATGGGACGTATCAAAGGTGACAAATATGCACTACATGTTCCAATCTGCGAGCGTATTCAATCAGCCCATTGGCCAATGGGACGTATCAAAGGTGAGAAATATGCAATACATGTTCCAATCTGCGCCTGCGTTTGCGCAAAGCCTCGAAAGTTGGCCGGAGACGTCGTATACTCTTGCGACGAATCATAACGGAGCGACACATGAAATGTTCAACGGCGCCACTGCGTTCCGCTCTAAGTTCTCGTGCCCGAGTGGAAATTACGGTCCGCCTGTAAAATGCACGTGTACTTTGAGCTGCCCTTTGTTGGACTCTGTGTTTACGACACAAATTGACATCTGTTTACAAGCCAGTCCTGTTCACGGTTTGTGTTCTGACAGCGCGCCAAAGTACGGGGCTATGCCCGACTGGGACGTATCGGAAGTGACGAACATGTCTCACGCGTTTCGAGACTTGGCTTCTTTCGACGCAGACCTATCCAAGTGGGAGGTTTCTCAAGTCACGGACATGGAGTACATGTTTCACGGCGCGTCTTCTTTCTCTTCGGATATTTCAGCCTGGGACACCTCCAGAGTAACGAACATGCAAAACATGTTTCACGGCGCGTCGTCTTTTCGTTCGTTCGTCTCGGACTGGAAGGGTGCGGCTGCAACCAGTACGCAATCGAACATGTTTTTGGACGCTGAGGCTTTTGTTTCTCGCTTTCTATGCCGAGACTCTAAGAGCGGCCCAGCGTCAACGTGTGCTCCTCGCCCTCCACCTTCACCTTTAACCGATGCTTCTTTTTACGACGCAGTCAGTGCGTGCACTCTTGAAGCTCCCGTGAGTGGCGAGTGCATCACGTATGGTTTTTCCACGACTAATTTTGGCACCATGCCGAACTGGGACGTTCAATACGTCACAGACATGTCTTACTCGTTCAAGAACGAGCCTGTTTTTGACGGTGATATATCCTCTTGGAATACATCGAGCGTCACGAGTATGCGCGAAATGTTTCACTTTGCGACTTCCTTCAACCGCGCTATTGGCGGATGGAACACGTCGAGCGTCACTTCTATGTACTCCACTTTTGCAAACGCGCAAAGTTTCAATCAACCGCTTCGTTATTGGGACACGTCTAGAGTAGCCCGCGCTGAAAAAATGTTTTCAGGCGCCTCTTCCTTTGCGCGGAGACTTTATCTTCCAAGCTCGGCTATTCAGACTGGCATATTCTCTGGTTGCGTCGCATTTCACGAGAAGTACTCGTGTTCGACTGAAAACGATGGCCCAGCGGATTCGTGCGAATTCAAATTCAAAGTAGAACAAGCGAACTTCCAAACTGCCGTGAATTCGTGTTTGGAGGAAGAACGACTGATGAAGGGCGATGGTGCCATTCTGAAGGGCGATTGCACGACGTACGGTACCGTGACGAATAAATACGGCGTCATGTCTGATTGGGACGTCAGTCTCGTGACAAAGATGAACTCGGCGTTCCAATCCAAGACTACTTTCAACGGCGATATTTCGAATTGGGATGTGAGCTCTGTCGTGGATATGGACTACATGTTTTACAGTGCGAACTCGTTTAACGGCGATATTTCGAATTGGGATGTGAGCTCTGTCGTGACCATGAGCCACATGTTTTACAGTGCGAACTCGTTTACTCAAGACTTGAGTAGCTGGCAGACGTCGAGTCTCACGAGTATGTACAGAATAATGTATGCTTCGTATGCGAATATAGACGTGAGTAATTGGGACGTTTCGAACGTTCGAAATATGGATCGTGTTTTTGACAACGCGTACTCTTTCAATAAGGATATAAGCAGCTGGGACGTGTCGAGCGTCACGAGTATGAATTACATGTTCAACGAAGCAAAATCGTTCAATCGAGATTTGGATGCATGGGATACGTCCAGCGTGACTGATATGCAGTACATGTTCAATGAAGCGCATGTTTTTAACGGCAAAGTGGGTTCTTGGGACGTGTCGAAGCTGACGACTTTGTCGCACATGTTTTATAACGCGAAGAAGTTTAACCAACCGGTTGGAAACTGGGACGTCTCGAAAGTAACCGCGTTTGACAATGCTTTTGCGTATGCTTCTGCTTTTGCTCAAGATTTATCCAAATGGACTGGGAGTGGCGTGGAAACTACACAGAGTAATATATTTTATGGTGCGTATGCATTTCAGGCGAAATATTGGTGTCCTGATGCGAACAGTGGTCCCATTAAATTTTGTCAGTGTAAAGCAGACTGTCCTCCTTCGCCTTCTCCGCCACCTTCATCTTCTTTTGAGAAAACTGCAATCACGACTGATAACATCAAAACAGCCGCGCAGACGTGCTTGTATTCCAATATAGGTGCACACGTTTCAAACGGTTTGTGCGCGGCTACGGAATACGGGTCTATGCCTGATTGGGACGTGAGCAAAGTGACGAGTATGCGTGAGCTCTTCGGATCCATCTTGTCTAGCGTTCGGTCTCAATTTAACGCCGACTTGTCTCGTTGGGACGTGAGCGCCGTCACGGATATGCAATACCTTTTCAACGGATGCACGGCTTTCAACGGAAACATTTCAAACTGGGACGTGAGCTCTGTGACTCGTATGCAACACATGTTCCAATCGACGAGCTCGTTCACGCGAGATATCAACAGTTGGAACATACAAAGAGTGACTAGTTTTGAAGGTTTTCTGTACGATTCGTATTCGAATCCGAAGTTGTCTAATTGGAACGTGTCCCAAACGAGGAATATGAATCAACTTTTCGATCACGCGTACTCTTTCGACCAGAATATCAGTCATTGGGACGTGTCGAGCGCGACGAGCATGAGTTATATGTTTCGCAACGCGGATAGTTTCAACTACGACTTGGACGCGTGGGATACGTCGAGAGTGACAAGTATGTATGCGATGTTCAATGGTGCAGATATATTCAACGGCAAAATTGGTTCGTGGGACGTGTCTGAGGTGACAAATATGGGATACATGTTTTATGAAACTTCTGCATTTAATCAGCCCATTGGCCAATGGGACGTATCAAAGGTGACAAATATGGAATTCATGTTTTATTCCGCGAGCGTATTCAATCAGCCCATTGGCCAATGGGACGTATCAAAGGTGACAAATATGCACTACATGTTCCAATCTGCGAGCGTATTCAATCAGCCCATTGGCCAATGGGACGTATCAAAGGTGACAAATATGCAATACATGTTCCGATCTGCGCCTGCGTTTGCGCAAAGCCTCGAAAGTTGGCCGGAGACGACGTCTACTCTTGCGACGAATCATAACGGACCGACATATGAAATGTTCAACGGCGCCACTGCGTTCCGCTCTAAGTTCTCGTGCCCGAGTGGAAATTACGGTCCACCTGTGAGTTGTATTTGTAATGAAGGCAGGTGCCTTGAGAATGCAAATTTCCGAGCAGCGCTTGACGCATGCTTGTTTGAATCTCAGGTTGCAGGAAATTGCGATACGTACGGTACTGAGACGACAGATTTTGGCCTCTTATCGGATTGGGACGTTTCGCGAGTGACTAACATGTCTTTTGCGTTTAAAGGGTCTGAAAAGTTCAACGGCGACCTTTCCAAGTGGCAAACCACGAGCGCTACGAGTATGGATGAAATGTTTTCCGGAGCGCTTTCGTTTACTGGATCGTCGCTTGGAGAATGGGATACTTCAAGCGTGGTGAGTATGAGCGGTATGTTTGAAGACGCCATCTCCTTCAATCAGCCGCTTTCTCTTTGGGACACTTCTCAAGTGACTGATATGTCTAGCATGTTTTTAAACGCCACCTCTTTTAATCAGCCGCTTTCTCTTTGGGATACTTCTCAAGTGACTGATATGTCTAGCATGTTTGAGAGCGCCGTTTCTTTCGCTCAGCCTGTTTATTTTTGGACTGGATCGGCAGCGACGAGCTCGAGCGGCTCCACTTCTATCTTTGCTTCTGCGAGTTCGTTTTTGGAAAAGTATTCGTGTGATTCCGCTGTCGATGGTCCGGTGAATACGTGCACGTGCTCCAATCCTGTTTTCTGTGTGAGCGATGCTGTCTTCTTGAGCGCCGTTTCGGCGTGCCTTGCCGAGTCTCCCGCGCTTGGCTTGTGTCCGACCTACGGTACGATGACTACGCAGTTCGGAGCTTCTATGTCTATTTGGGATACCTCTTTAGTGACGAACATGTCTCACGCGTTTGAGCAGGCGACGTCTTTTAACGGCGATATTTCCTCCTGGAATACAGTCAGCGTGACGAGTATGTCTTCTATGTTCTTCAACGCGTCATCGTTTGCCGGTGATATCTTGGGATGGACCGGCAGTGCAACGGAGAGTGCGCAAGTTGACATGCTTTTTGGCGCTTCACAGTTTCATCGCAAGTACATTTGCTCGGACACTGTTCGCGGTCCTTTGAGCGCTTGCGTTGCTCGAGTAAAGCTAACCGATGAAACTTTTTTTGATGCGAGAACCTCGTGTTTGGAGGAAGAGCCGCTGAAGGGCGATTGCACGACGTACGGTACCGTGGCGAATAAATACGGCGTCATGTCTGATTGGGACGTCAGTCTCGTGACAAAGATGAACTCGGCGTTCCAATCCAAGACTACTTTCAACGGCGATATTTCGAATTGGGATGTGAGCTCTGTCGTGACTATGAGCCAAATGTTTTACAGTGCGAACTCGTTTACTCAAGACTTGAGTAGCTGGCAGACGTCGAGTCTCACGAGTATGTACAGAATAATGTATGCTTCGTATGCGAATATAGACGTGAGTAATTGGGACGTTTCGAACGTTCGAAATATGGATCGTGTTTTTGACAACGCGTACTCTTTCAATAAGAATATAAGCAGCTGGGACGTGTCGAGCGTCACGAGTATGCAATACATGTTCAAAAGTGCTCTTATTTTCAACCAAGATTTGAACAACTGGGATACATCGAGCGTTACTGCAATGAACGAAATGTTCAACGGTGCTCTTGAATTTGATGGTAAAATAGGCAATTGGGACATTTCCAATATTCAAAACATGTGGGCTTTTTTCCATACTGCCAAAAAATTTAATCAAGATATTGGAAACTGGGATGTATCTAGAGTGACTAATATGGGATATGTTTTCCACAATGCCGAGGCGTTTAATCGAGATATTAGTGCTTGGGACACGTCAAAAGTTACAAACATGGAATCGATGTTCAGGAATGCGTACGATTTCAATCAAGATATTGGAAGCTGGGATGTTTCGCAAGTGAACAATTTTGAGCATACTTTTGCCAGCGCGAGTTCTTTCGTGCAAGACTTATCTTCATGGACTGGTAGTGCAGCTGAGACTGTCCAAACGAACGTTTTTAATGGCGCTACTGCGTTTCAGTTGAAATATTCTTGTTTCCAGGCAAATAATGGTCCCATCAAATACTGTGAATGTAAAGCGGACTGCCCAACATCTCCACCTCTATCAAGCGAATCGAGAACTCTCTTAACAGATGATAATATTAAATCTGCCATAAACGTGTGCATGTACTCGGGTGGTGGCTCTCATATTTCAGACGGTCTGTGCTCATCTACAGAATACGGTGCCATGCCAGATTGGGACGTTAGCAAGGTAACAAATATGACTTTTATTTTCGAAGGAGTCAGAAGTCTTATTAGCTCGCAGTTCAACGCGGATTTATCGCGTTGGAATGTGAGCGCTGTCAAAGAAATGCGAGGATTGTTCTACAGCTTGAGCTCTTTTAACGCGAATATTTCGAGTTGGAACGTCAGTTCGGTCAGGGACATGAGTAACATGTTTGAAAGTGCAAACGCTTTCACTCAAGATTTGAGAGACTGGGATACCTCGAGTCTTACACGTTTGGACCGTATATTCTATACTTCGAATGCGAATCCGAAAGTTGCAGACTGGGACGTTTCGAGGGTCACGAATATGGCGAGTGTTTTTAGCCACGCGTATTCTTTCAACCAGGATATCAGTTCTTGGGATGTCTCGTCTGTAACAACCATGTCTGAAATGTTTCACAATGCGCATGCTTTCAACCAAGACTTAGAATCGTGGAATACGACGCTTGTTACATCTATGTATCATATGTTCGCAAGGACAAGGTCCTTCAACGGTAAAATAGGGTCTTGGGACGTATCTCATGTTACTAATATGGAATGGATGTTTTACAACGCAAAAGCTTTCAACCAACCTGTCGGGAAATGGGACGTTTCGCGAGTTCAGAATATGAATTATATGTTTTGGTCTGCTATAGTATTCGACCAGAACTTAGCTACCTGGCCGGAAACGTATGTGACATCGAATGCCGTAAGTTTGTTTGTTTATCAGGCTCCTGCGTTTGAATTGAAATATTCGTGTCCAAATTCTTATAATGGTCCCCCAATTAAGTGCGTATGCAAGGAAGGTGGTTGTTTAGACAATACAAACTTCAAAGCTTCAATTGAGGCGTGTCTGGCTGAGTCTCCAGAGGATGGAAAATGCTTTTCTTATGGTACGATCACTACAGATTTCGGCATCATGGAAGATTGGGACACAAGCTCGGTTATCGATATGTCGTTCGCGTTTGGGGCAAACTGTGATAATTTTGCGACTGATTGCAATCGCTCGTATTCAGCCATTTTCAACGCAGACATCTCTCGCTGGAATACAAGCAGCGTAAAAACTATGCGCGGCATGTTTAATACGGCTACCACCTTTAATCAATCAATTGGATCTTGGAACGTTTCTCAAGTAACGGATATGTCTAGCATGTTTGAGGGGGCGAAAAGCTTCAACTTGACCTTATCGGACTGGGATACATCCATGGTAACCAGCATGGAACGCATGTTTGCAGATTCAATTTCGTATTCTCAAACTGTAGTTCTTTGGGACACTACCAGTGTAGATAACACTACGAGCATGTTTCTCGGAGCTACTGCATTTTTGTCCGTGCATGTTTGCGGCGAAGATGGACCTCCAGAGAATTGCACGTGTATCGAATGTTTAACTGATTCCACCTTTAATGCTTCTCTTGCTTCGTGCCTGGCGGAAGACCCGGAGTACGGTTTGTGCGAAACATTCGGCACTTCGAGCGGTTTTGGAGTAATGCCTGAATGGAACGTTCGCTTTGTCAGTGACATGCGAGGAGCTTTTCAAGATAGATCGACATTCAACGGCGACATTACCCTTTGGGACACGAGTAGTGTGACAAATATGGAATCCATGTTCGAAAATGCAATAAATTTTGCTCGGGAGATCTCAGTATGGAAAGGGTTCGCGGCGAGATCTTCACAACATGGTATTTTTCTCGGAGCTTATGAATACCACGCGAAGTTTGAATGTAAAGACGAGATGGTATTGAATTCATGTAAGCAACGAATGAGTAAAACTTTACTGAGTGATGTAACTTTTAAATTTGCCATTACCAAATGTCTAGAAGAGGCGCCGATTTCCGGTGATTGTCAAATTTACGGGAAATCCACGACGAATTTTGACATCATGTCAAACTGGGATACTAGTTTGGTAACGAACATGGGGAGTGCGTTTGAGAACAAAGTTGAGTTCAATGGCGATATTTCTCGGTGGGATACTTCGAATGTCGTTTTTATGGACAAGCTATTTCTCAACGCAGCTTCGTTTAACAAGCCTTTGACATTTTGGAGTACGACTAAAGTACTCACCATGGAGCGCATGTTTGAAGGTGCGAGTGCTTTCGATCGCGATGTTACATTCTTAGTTACGTCTAGTGATACCAACACGGATGGAATGTTTACTGATGCGAATTCTTTTCTTGCCAAGTTCAAATGTGAGATTATGATCAGCGGACCGCCAAGTTCGTGCTTGTGCTCTCGCGAATTAGACTGTTGCGTCGGACAAGCTTGCGAATTGGAACTCGACGACATGAATTTGATGGATGCAGTTTCTGAATGCTTGCTCGAGGACCCTATTTATGGATTGTGCGAAAGATTTGGTTCAAGGCGAAAGCTCGGAATAATGCCAGATTGGGACGTTGGTCGAGTTACGAACATGCAAAGTGTTTTTGCCATGAGAGAAAATTTCAACGGTAACATATCCGCGTGGAACGTTTCGAGCGTCACGAGTATGTACCAAATGTTTAAATTTGCTCGTTCTTTTAACGGAGACATCGGTACATGGGATACTTCGAAAGTTACAAATATGGAGCGAATGTTTCATGGCGCGTCGAAATTTGACCAATATATTTTGATGTGGACTGGCGCGGCGGCTACCAGCGAGCAGTCTGGAATTTTCACCGAGGCTTTAGCTTTTCAAACGAGATTTAATTGCAGCGGTATCGAGGAAGCAGGAGCGAATGTCGTGTGGAACGGTCCGCTTTCTTCGTGCGATTGTAAATATTCATGCCCGTTGACAGATGATACAATTGCATCTGGGGTCTCTGAATGTTTACTCTCTCACCCCATGGATGGGTTGTGCTCCTCAGATACTTTATACGGTGCTATGCCAAACTGGGATGTCTCTCTCGTCACGAACATGAGCGGTTTATTTGAGGATTATGAATTCTTCAACGGCGATATTTCTAAATGGATTACCTCAAGTGTAACCAACATGGAATCTATGTTTTCTGGAGCAACTTCGTTTAACCAGGATATCTCTGCAGCTTGGCAGGGACCGGCCACAGAAACGACACAGACTGATATGTTTGCTGGCGCAACTGCTTTTCAAGCCGCGTTCAAATGCGTAGACGTAATAAACGGACCGTTGAATCAGTGTTACTGCATCGATTGTTTAACTGATTCCATATTTATGTCTTCTCTTGCTTCGTGCCTGGCGGAAGACCCGGAGTACGGTTTGTGCGAAACATTCGGCACTTCGAGCGGTTTTGGAGTAATGCCTGAATGGAACGTTCGCTTTGTCAGTGACATGCGAGGAGCTTTTCAAGATAGATCGACATTCAACGGCGACATTACCCTTTGGGACACGAGTAGTGTGACAAATATGGAATCCATGTTCGAAAATGCAATAAGTTTTGCCCGAGGGATTGGAACCTGGCGAGGAGTAGCAACTTTGACCCCACAAATAAATATGTTCCGTAACGCTTCAGCTTTCCAAGATACGTTTTCATGCAAAAAGTACAATTCTGGACCCGCACAAACTTGCGTGATTCCTTTAAATGATGCGAACTTTTACGACGCCATTTCATCGTTGTGCTTAGGGAGAAATGACAAGATTGGAGCGTGCCCTCTATCAAAATATGGAGAAGTTCCTCACTGGGATGTTTCAAAAGTAACTAATATGCGCGGAGCATTTTCAAACTACGAAGTCTTCAATGCCGATATTTCAAGTTGGGATGTTTCAAGCGTTACAGACATGGGATATATGTTTTACAACTCGCAATTCTTCAATCAAAACATTGGGACGTGGGACACTTCAAACGTTGAGAATATGGAAAAGATGTTTTCATTTGCGAAAAACTTCAATGCAAACATCAACAGATGGAACGTCGAGAAAGTCACGAAAATGACAGGCATGTTTTGGAAAGCTGAAAAGTTTAACCAACCGTTACATGACTGGGAAACTTCTAATGCTATAGACGCTGAAGAAATGTTCCTCATGACTCCGAATTTTATGCGTAATATCTCGATGTGGAAAGGTGCAATTGGATCGGCGCCGCAGTCGCTTATATTCTATGAAGCGACGAAATTTATATCCAAGTATGAGTGCACTGATGCAAATAGTGGACCAGTTAATTCATGTGTGTGTGTTTCGGGCTGTATTTTGGACTCCACATTTCATGCCGCCATCAATGAATGTTTGGAAGAAGACCCCTTCTTTGGTATCTGCACATCATACGGAGAGACGAGTAAATACGGAGTCATCTCTGAATGGGACGTGAGCGCGGTGACAAACATGCAAGCTGCATTCTTAGGGCGGCACCAATTCAATGGTGACATTTCCTCTTGGGATACGTCATCCGTCACGAGCATGGCATCTATGTTTGACTCGAATTCGACCGATTATGGCATGATATTCAATCAGGATTTGAGTCGTTGGGACACATCGAAAGTGCTAGAAATGAATGCGATGTTTGCACATTGCTGGCAATTTGATTCTGATCTCAGTTTGTGGGATACTTCAAGCGCGACTGATATGGACGGGATGTTTGCTGATGCGAGAGCTTTTCAATGGGATATATCCACGTGGCAAGGAAGTGCGGCAAGGAATTTCAGTCGAGGTATCTTTGCAGACGCTTCCGCGTTCATCTCAAAATTCGCATGCTCGGATGGCACCGATGGGCCAATAACTTCGTGCGCATGCAGAACACACAGCGAGTGTGGATTACGTAGCACTACATTTTTTGCTGCTATCAGTGCATGCTTGAAAGAATCTGCTGCCGATGGATTGTGTAATTCATACGGGGCATTGAGTGGGTTTGGCACGATGCCAAATTGGGATACGAGCGAGATCACAAATATGAACGGTGCTTTTAGTAATCGAGCCACGTTCAATGCAGATTTGTCGGGCTGGATTATTGCACAAGTTACGGACATGCGAGAAATGTTCCTTGGTGCGTCTCTTTTCAACGCAGATATTTCGAAATGGGATACGTCCAACGTGCGAGACATGACGCGTATGCTTGCGAACGCGACTTCTTTCAGTCAAGACATCTCCGGGTGGATAGGCTCTGCATCTAACACTCCGCAAACTGAAATCTTTTCGGGTGCAACTTCATTCAAAGCTGAATATGTATGCGATGACATCGACGACGGACCGATAAGTTCATGTTATGATCCAAGCTACTCTTTAACAGATTCCTCGTTCACTCAGGCCATACTTTCATGCCTTGCAGAATCTCCCGAGCGCGGTTTATGCTCTGTTTGGGGAACTCAAACAACCAAGTATGGCACTATGCCCAGTTGGGACACGAGTCGAGTAACTTCAATGAAAGAAGCCTTCCTTGGTTTGAGTTCTTTCAATGCGGATATTTCTACCTGGGACACCTCGCAAGTGACTAACATGCAGTACATGTTTTCTGGAGCATCTTCTTTCGACAAGGATATTTCTTCTTGGGATACTTCTAAAGTGACGAATATGGGTAATATGTTTCATGGCGCTTTTACTTTCAATCAAAAAATTGGAAGTTGGAACACAGCGCAGGTTACTAATATGTACGGAATGTTTCTGTCCGCCAGATTGATTAATCAAAATATTGGTAGTTGGGATACGTCGTCAGTTACGAGCATGCAGTATATGTTGCAGGGAGCGGAATCGTTCAGTTACGACTTGTCAACATTCAGCGAAACGAGTTTGGCTGATTCGCGAGACATTTTCAAGGAAGCAACTGTATTTAACGCCAAATTTAGTTGCGACAATCAAAATAATGGCCCGCCGAGCTCGTGCGTTGATCGGTCTCCAGCAAATCCGACATTTATTACAGACTCGAACTTTTACGCTGCCATAGAAACCTGTTTATCTTTAGATTTACAGTCTTACGCAGTGAATGGTTTGTGCTATGCGACTGAGTACGGGGCAATGCCGGATTGGGATACCAGCCGTGTTACGAACATGCGCGGATGGTTGGGCAGGGAATATGTCGGCTTCGGTAATAATCCCATTTTCAATGGGGATATATCGAGGTGGGACACATCCCAAGTCACGAGCATGTACGCCATGTTTGTAGGAGCTGTTTCGTTCAAGAAAGACATTTCGATGTGGAACGATTTAAAAGTAACAAACTTCAGAAATATGTTCACGAGAGCGACTGCTTTTCAAGAAAAATTTGTATGCGACGATCCGATAAGCGGTCCACCAAGTTCATGCTATGATAGCACGAGCGCATTGTTAGATTCGAATTTTAACGATGCAGTTTTGGCGTGCTTGCAGGAAGCACCAGAGAATGGTGATTGCAAAAATTATGGAACAAATGTAACTGCTCGCGGAATCATGCCGGCGTGGGATACATCTCGAGTTACGAATATGAAAGCAGCGTTCAAGGATAAGATTTCATTCAACGGTGACATTTCTGCTTGGGATACGTCTCAAGTTACTGACATGACTCAAATGTTCGAGGGAGCGAAATCTTTTAATCATGATATCGGAAAGTGGAAAACTGATAAAGTTGTGAGCATGGGGGCTATGCTATACAGAGCTTCTTCTTTCGACTTTGATATTTCAGGATGGTCTGGAGAGGCGGCTTCGAGCGTTCAAGCACAAATGGTCGAAGAAGCAACAGCATTTAATGCAAAATTTTCGTGCTCGGAAGGATCTAAGGGTCCCGCTTTTTCGTGCATGTGTACGTCAGGGGTTTGTTCATTAAGCGATGGATCGTTTGCAAATGCAGTACGAGCTTGTCTTGCAGAATCTCCCGAGCGCGGTTTATGCTCTGTTTGGGGAACTCAAACAACCAAGTATGGCACTATGCCCAGTTGGGACACGAGTCGAGTAACTTCAATGAAAGAAGCCTTCCTTGGTTTGAGTTCTTTCAATGCGGATATTTCTACCTGGGACACCTCGCAAGTGACTAACATGCAGTACATGTTTTCTGGAGCATCTTCTTTCGACAAGGATATTTCTTCTTGGGATACTTCTAAAGTGACGAATATGGGTAATATGTTTCATGGCGCTTTTACTTTCAATCAAAAAATTGGAAGTTGGAACACAGCGCAGGTTACTAATATGTACGGAATGTTTCTGTCCGCCACATCGTTTAACCAATACATAAGCAGTTGGAATACTTCGGCTGTCGAAGACATGACTCTGTTGTTCTTCCAGGCTTCTTCGTTTAATAAGCCAGTGGCGCAATGGGACATTTCCAAGGTAACCAGTATTTTTGGCATGTTTTTTCATGCATCTACATTTGATCAACCTCTTAATATATTGGATACGTCTCAAGTCACGAATATGCAGTACGTATTCTATGGTGCTTCTTTATTTAATCAGCGTTTAGCTGATTGGAATGTATCGAAAGTTACGAATATGTATGGAATGTTCCTTGGAGCGACGAAATTCAATCAAGATATAAGTGGGTGGGACACATCATTAGTAACGGATATGCGATACTTATTTTATCAGGCTAGTTCGTTCCGATACGATATATCAGGATGGAATGGTGTGGCAACGAAGACTTTACAAGATAACATTTTTTACGACGCGAAGTCTTTTCAGGACAAATTTTCATGTTTAACAAATGATGACGGTCCGATAAATTCTTGCATTTGTGTTTTAGACTGTCCAAACTATTCATCGCCTTCTCCTCCCCCGCCGCCGCCTTCCCCTCCTTCCCCACCGCCTCCGCTGCCCATGTCGGCTCCACCTCCCACGATTGAACTTACCGATGAGAATTTCTTCGTAGCGGTAGAAAAATGTTTGACTATGAATAACTACGCACATGCCGAGTTTGGCATGTGCCGGGAAAGCGGTTATGGTCCAATGCCGTATTGGAACACTGCAAAGGTGACAAATATGACTTTCGCTTTTTCCGGTAGATCTAAGTTCAACGCGGATATTGCGCACTGGGACGTTTCGCATGTTGTCGCATTTGACAATATGTTTGATGCCGCTGTAACTTTCAATCAGAAGATTTCAGGTTGGGTGACTTCAAGTGCGCTTTCCATGAACGCAATGTTCCGCAAATCGGAGTCATTTAATCACGACATTTCTGTATGGAATACTACTCTCGTTACCGATATGCGCAATATGTTTAACGGAGCATTGCAATTTAATCATGATATATATAAATGGTCTGGTGCTGCGGCGTCAACGCCGCAAGAAGATATGCTTCTTGGTGCGACTGCTTTCAACGTCAAATACTTGTGTGCAGTCGAGAACAACGCGCAATCGTGTTCCTCCACTCGTCAAAGCTGGTCGGCACCGCCACCGAGCAAATGGCTGCCTTCCCCGACGGCACTTCCACCTTCGCCATTTCCTCCACCATTTCCTCCTCCAAAACCTGTTTCGGATACTACTTTTCGAGACGCTATCGAATCTTGCCTGTGGAAGGATTCGAAAGAAATCATAGCTGAAGGGATGTGTTATTCGAGTGAGTTTGGCCCGATGCCGAAGTGGGACACCAGTCTCGTCACAAACATGTCGAAAGCCTTTTCTGGCTATTCCAATTTCAACGCCGATATTTCCGGCTGGGATACGAGCAATGTTGTGGACATGAGCGCTATGTTTGAATCTGCGTCCTCGTTCAATCAAAACATTGGGGTCTCCTGGGATACATCGCAAGTGAGGAGCATGGAAGAAATGTTTTACCAAGCTTCTGCTTTCAATCAGGACATCGGGGGCTGGGACACATCTCAGGTGACAAGTATGAGGTACATGTTCAGCGGTGAGTATTACAACAAGATGATATTCAATGAGGACATTGGCGGTTGGAACGTTGGGAACGTTGTTGACTTTGAGGGCATGTTCCGTTTTGCCCAAAGTTTCAACCAAAATATTGGTTCTTGGTCAACCTCTCAGGCAACGAGCATGGCTGGTATGTTTGAAGGCGCGATTGTATTCAACCAAGACATTTCATCTTGGAACGTGTCTTCTGTGATTGATATGAGAAGTATGTTTGACGGAGCATTGGTATTTGATAAGGACATAACAATCTGGACCGGAATAGCTGCTCGTACACCGCAAGACGATATCTTCTTGAATGCGAGTGCTTTTGTGGCGCGCTTTAAGTGTCCGAGCTCTAATGATGGCCCTATCAACAGCTGTGAATGTGTTTCAAATTGTGCTGGCATTCCGCCGTCATCTGCACCTTCGCTAGGCACCGTACTTTCAGACGACAACTTTGCATCGGCTGTTTCTGAATGCCTTCGCGTCGCATCGGGAAATCATGTTTCGGACGGTTTGTGTACTTCTGCGAGTTTTGGTTCTATGCCAAGCTGGGACACCAGTCTGGTCACAAACATGTCGAATGCCTTTTCCCAATATCCTGACTTCAACGCCGATATTTCCGGCTGGGATACGAGCAATGTTGTGGACATGAGCGCTATGTTTGAATCTGCTTCTTTGTTTGACCAGGACATTAGTTCTTGGGTTACATCAAAGGTGAGGAGCATGACTCGCATGTTTGCCGATGCGTCCTCGTTCAATCAAAACATTGGGGTCTCGTGGGATACATCGCAAGTGAGGAGCATGGAAGAAATGTTTTACCAAGCTTCTGCTTTCAATCAGGACATCGGCTGGGACACATCTCAGGTGACAAGTATGAGGTACATGTTCAGCGGTGAGTATTACAACAAGATGATATTCAATGAGGACATTGGCGGTTGGAACGTTGGGAACGTTGTTGACTTTGAGGGCATGTTCCGTTTTGCCCAAAGTTTCAACCAAAATATTGGTTCTTGGTCAACCTCTCAGGCAACGAGCATGGCTGGTATGTTTGAAGGCGCGATTGTATTCAACCAAGACATTTCATCTTGGAACGTGTCTTCTGTGATTAATATGAGAAGTATGTTTGACGGAGCATTGGTATTTGATAAGGACATAACAATCTGGACCGGAGTTGCAGCCGAAACTCTTCAACAGGGTATTTTCGACCGAGCTCACGAATTTCAAAGAAAGTTTTGGTGTCCGTACGATGATGATGGTCCAGCCTCGTTTTGTTTGTGCCGTGCTGACTGCATTGCTGAACGCATTGCACCACTCATTCCTTCTGTTGAAAGCATAATGCTTTCCTCTACCAATGTATCTAACGTAGAGTCAAATGTGCACTATGGATCTATGGGATATCCAATTACTGATGGGTTGATTGCACCTAGCATGTACAATATTCTCGATAACAATGATGTTGTTTACGTATGGAACTACTTCGAAATCACCGATGAAAAGTACCTGGCACGAGATGCCGCCCAGCTCTTTGATGGGAAAGTTGGCGACTGGAATTTTTCAGCACACGCCGATTCAGATTCGCATGCGAAATGGGCGTATCAGTTCCACACTGGGTCAGAACTTGTCGGTAAAATGGTATTCACTCAACCGCCTTCTGATTATGCTACAGGTGACATTGTGATCGAGTACTGGAATGGCATGACATTCAAAATTGTGAATAATCAAAGCGTGTCTGGCTTTGATAAATCTTCAATTGTATGGAACCAAAGTTTGGAGATAGCATTTGACACAGTCTCTGCTCAGTTTTTTCAAATCACATGCTTTCCGCACCCACTCTCTTCGCATAGACATCGACAAGGGTTATCAGAATGGCAGATTTGGTCTGGGTGGTACACAAATTCCACCATATCTGATTTCAATTTTGCGTATGCAATTTCAGAGTGCCTATGGAATACCCCTGGATTGCACGATATGGACGGTATGTGTACTTCTGCGAGCTTTGGTCCTATGCCAAGCTGGGACACCAGTCTGGTCACAAACATGTCGAATGCCTTTTCCCAATATCCTGACTTCAACGCCGATATTTCCGGCTGGGATACGAGCAATGTTGTGGACATGAGCGCTATGTTTGAATCTGCTTCTTTGTTTGACCAGGACATTAGTTCTTGGGTTACATCAGAGGTGAGGAGCATGACTCGCATGTTTGCCGATGCGTCCTCGTTCAATCAAAACATTGGGGTCTCGTGGGATACATCGCAAGTGAGGAGCATGGAAGAAATGTTTTACCAAGCTTCTGCTTTCAATCAGGACATCGGGGGCTGGGACACATCTCAGGTGACAAGTATGAGGTACATGTTCAGCGGTGAGTATTACAACAAGATGATATTCAATGAGGACATTGGCGGTTGGAACGTTGGGAACGTTGTTGACTTTGAGGGCATGTTCCGTTTTGCCCAAAGTTTCAACCAAAATATTGGTTCTTGGTCAACCTCTCAGGCAACGAGCATGGCTGGTATGTTCAAAGGCGCGATTGTATTCAACCAAGACATTTCATCTTGGAACGTGTCTTCTGTGATTGATATGAGAAGTATGTTTGACGGAGCGTTGCAATTCAGTTCTGACATATCGGATTGGAGTGGAACAGCTGCGAAATCCCGGCAAAATGATATTTTTCTGGGCGCCATTGCGTATCAGAAGAAATATTGGTGTCCGAGTGTCATGAATGGTCCGGTGTCCTGGTGCGTGTGCAAATTTGAGTGCCCGCGCCCACCATCGCCTTTTCCTCCTCCTTCACCACCACCAACACCTCCTGCTCCACTTCCACCTCCCACTCCCCCTTCCGTAACTTCTCTTTCTCTCTCTCCGCCATCTTGGTCAGCGATATCTTCTCTATTTCTACCTGCATTGCTTGAAGACACGAACATAAAGATATACGCATCCGACTCAGCTGATAACGATTGGTTTGGTTCTGCCGTATCTTTATATGGCGATGTTGCATTGATTGCTGCTCGTCAAGATGATGATAACGCTACAAATACTGGCTCCGTCTACATTTTTCGCCGATATTCCTCCTATTCTCGTTTTGAAGGAAGTACTACCGCGACATGGACCGAGCAGACGAAGCTTCATGCGTCTGATCCATCTGAATTCGATGGTTTCGGAAGATCAGTTTCCTTCTTTGATGACACAGCTTTGATTGGAGCAGGTGCAGACGATGATGAAGGTAGTAACGCTGGCTCAGTTTATGTGTTCACCATGCACACTAATTCATCGGATGAATCATCATCTAGCTCTACGTGGGTACAGCAAACCAAATTTTATGCTTCCAATCTAACTGCTGCTGACTACTTCGGTGCGTCAGTGTCTCTGTACGGTGATACTGCTTTCATTGGGGCCACCGGAGATGACGAAAAAGCAACCAATGCTGGTGCCGTATATGTGTTCACGCGAAAAACTTCTTCGATTGGAACTGTGTGGACTGAGAAGACTAAAATCTATGCATCAGACCCTGCTCCCGAAGATGGATTTGGTCAATCTTTATCGCTGCACGGAGACAGAGCGTTAATTGGAGCGAATACTGATAGCAATACGACTGAGATTAACACCGGTTCGGTTTATGAATTTGTGAGGTCGTTTGATAATTTAAATGACGAAGGAATTGTTGAAGAAGGCGCATTTACCTATTCCGATGGCTCGTACACAGCAAAATGGGTCGAGCAGACTACTAAAATACTCGCCCCTGATTTGAGTCGATCGGATCTCTTTGGTGTATCGGTGGCATTATATGGTAACACTGCATTAATTGGAGCGAGTGGGGACGATGAGAATGCTACGAATACCGGCTCTGTGTACATATTTACCCGAAAGTCATCTTCCTCCTCCTCCTCTTCCGAGGTGTCTTTATGGATTGGAGAGACGAAAATTTACGCGTCCGATCCAGCTGCTGGTGATGTCTTTGGGAATTCTATATCGCTCTACGGCGACACGGCTTTGATTGGCGCATTCCAAAACGATGACCAGGGGACAAATACGGGGAGAGTGTACGTATTTAAAGCGCCCCCGCCCCCGGCACCGCCTCCTCCTTCTCCGCCTCCACCTTCACCTCCAAGTCCTCCCCCAGATGGAATGTATTGTCCTTTCCAAAGGTGCGGCGACTCTTCGAATTGCCCTTGTGACGCGGGCGAATGTTCGGATCCAGTGCATGGTATAGAATTCAAACGAGTATCTCCAAAGTGTATGCGGACTATTCTCGAATATTGCGCTTCGCACGATCCCGAAGTATCAGGGCAAGTGGATGACCCCGGATGTCGACGATTCTTAAATTCAAAAAGTAAAGTTCAATCAATCCTAAGAGACGTGAAAACAAGAATTGATAGCGATCTACCGTCTATTGGAGGTAGAAGTATGGCTATTGAGTTTCCCGCTGGAGCTCTTTCGGAGGATACAGATGTGAGTATCGCGGAACTTGAAGATTCCGACCTCTCTGGAAGCTTACCGAGTAGTTTTGCTGGTACTACTACGGTTGGTAGTATCATCAACTTAACTCCGCATGGTACTGTCTTCAATTCGTGCGTCACGATTGAAGTTCCGTACACGTACACAAATTCCTACCTCGCCGGAACTTTACTCAAAGCGGCTGATACAGATTCAGATTTTGAACTCGTTTCAGACGCCACTTACGTGGACAATGCCGATGGCACAGGTACTGCCACCGCGTGTCTTTCGAGTTTTAGTACTTTACAGGTGGTAGAATCGCTCAATCCGAGTCCCCCGCCGTTTCCACCGCCTCCCCCTTCTCCTCCTACTCCGCCTCCTCCTCCTCCTTCTCCTCCCCCTTCTCCTCCACCTTCACCTCCTCCCTCTCCCCCTCCCTCCCCTCCTCCTTCACCGCCTCCCTCACCGCCACCGAGTCCTCCCCCATCGCCTCCTCCCCCTTCGCCGCCGCCTCCCCCATCGCCTCCTCCATCACCTCCACCGTCACCTCCTCCATCGCCCCCTCCATCGCCTCCGCCAAGTCCCCCACCATCGCCTCCCCCAAGTCCCCCACCATCGCCGCCTCCTTCTCCTCCTCCTTCTCCTCCTCCTTCTCCTCCTCCTTCTCCTCCTCCTTCTCCTCCTCCTTCTCCTCCTCCTTCTCCTCCTCCTCCCTCACCTCCTCCTCCTTCTCCTCCTCCTTCTCCGCCTCCATCGCCGCCTCCTTCCCCGCCGCCAAGTCCTCCCCCAAGTCCGCCGCCAAGTCCGCCCCCAAGTCCG